AGCAATTCTCACCACTGTAAAAATTAAATAAATTTGAAAAAAAAAACATTTCAGAACTACTGTCTCTTCTTTAATATAACAAACAATAAGGTAACTGGAAGCCCATTATATTTTGTGTAGTTTCAAGTCTTATTCCTGGTAATGAACAACAAAGTCTTATCCAAAATCTACAAACATTTTCTTAAATTTTCTTTTCTTTGAAAATGTGCAATGTACAAAAGCAGCTTCATGTGTGATACTCCCTCCCCCAGCAATAAAAAATATTTGGGTCCAAAGAAAAAATTCCCCAACTAAAATACTTTATAGTACAAGCCCAATGGCACATTCTGAAGATTCTTTTTGATTTTGATTTTTTTTTCCATTTAGTGAAAGACCTTAATGCCATCATCCCTTACTTCAGCAAAAAACAGGCCCTCTAGCACTCTCAATGATAGAACGTATATAAAGATTTACATATGTAGTGTGTCATTCACTGGAGATAAACTAATTTTTGGTGGCTTTATGGTAACATTTGTTAATGATAGAATACAACTCTCACTGTCTTCTCCACTATAAGAAAGAAAGAGAGGAGAGAGAAAAAAGAGAAGAAACAAGCTTGAATCATTTTGAGGAATGCAGTGAAAAAATCTTATACTACAGCACTAACACTGAAAATGAAATGATTTTTTCATACAAAAAATAGAATAAAATTAAACAAAATTATAATGGCAGTGGAGGGGGGAATGTATGAATCTCAATTATAAAAAGCACATACCCAAAGGCACTTAGCTAATTGGCACTAGTTAAAATTAATGGTAATGGTCTGCATGTGTTTGTTTGGCGAGTTCACAGTCTTCCGCGTCACTGGCGCATATAGGGCTGTGAACTGGTTCATGTTGAGATCATTGGCCAGGGATGTCGAGGTGGACAGCCCAGCGGATGAGACCAGCGATGAGGCTGGGAGAATTGAGGTAAGCGGGGAGGCACTCGATGCCAGGGAGATAAGGGAAGACACAGGTGCGAGGGTGGGTGATGAGGTCGATGAGGAAGGAGGAGGCGAGGAGCATGAGGGGGGGATATCCATCTCCTCATCGTCACGGTCTTCTCGATCCTCCAGAGGGTCAAGGTCGTCCATCCCTTTCTCACCGTGCTTGTGGTGGACATTCTCCACATGGCCCTTTAGGTGCTCCTTCTGAGTAAATCTGGGGATGAAGAGGAGTTACTTGGCTATTAACAGCAGGTCTCATGAGGTTTCATTTCTAACATATCCTTCCATTATTGATGAAAGAACAACGAATCTTGAAATTTTAAAATATAAAATCCTTTATAAAAAGATACATTAAGTACTTAAAGATACATTTAATATCTTACTGCAACAATACTTCCAAAAACACAAAACATCATCTGATGATCATATAATAAAATGACACAACATAATCTGATCATATAATATAAAATTCATGATTTCGAAAGAAAGAAATAAAGAAAAAAATGTGACTCACCTCGCATTGCAAATGTGACAAACAAAGGGTTTTTCTCCTGTGTGTATTCGCTCGTGTCTTTCCCTGTGCTCTTTTCTTTTGAACTTTTTTCCACAGTGCACACAGTCGTATTTACGTATGTGAAAGTGGTGGTCCTCAACATGACGGCGCAAGAGGTTTGCATTTGCCAACGTCACGAGGCACAGCTGACACTGTCGAGCCTGAAAGCACATTGGTTTATTAATATATAAGAAAAGATACCTGTGTGAGTCAGTAAGAGAGAGAGAGAGAGAGAGAGAGAGAGAGAGAGAGAGAGAGAGAGAGAGAGAGAGAGAGAGAGAGAGAGAGAGAGAGAGAGAGAGAGAGTGAGTGTGAGTGTGAGTGTGAGTGTGAGTGTGAGTGTGAGTGTGAGTGTGAGGTGAGAGTGAGAGTGAGAGTGAGAGTGAGAGTGAGAGTGAGTGTGTGTGTGTGTGTGTGTGTGTGTGGTGTGTGTGTGTGTGTGTGTGGTGTGTGTGTGTGTGTGTGAGTGTGTGTGTATAGGCAAGCATGCACATATGAATAAGTATGTGCATGCATGTGTATGTGTTCACATGCATGCAGGCATGCACATATTTATCTGCATATGTGTACATGTGTAGGCATGTGTGTGCATGTGTAAGCATGTATGTGCATGTGTAGGCATGTGTGTGCATATGTAAGCATGTTTGTGTGTGCATGTGTAGACGTGTGTGCATTGTGTAACATGTGTGTGCATGTGTAGACATGTGTGTGCATGTGTAGACATGTTGTGCATATGTAAGCATGTGTGCATGTGTCATGTGTGTGCATGTGTAGACATGAGTGTGCATGTGTAGACATGTGTTCATGTATAGACATGTGTGTGCATGTGTAGACATGTGTGCATGTATAGACATGTATGTACATGTGTGTGCATGTAATAGTACGCATGTGCAGATGTGTGTGTACATATGCGCATGTGTAGGCATGCATTTGCATTTGTAGGCATGAGTAGGCATCTGTGCACATATGTATGTGTACATGTGTGGGCATGTGTCGGTATGCGAGTACAAATGTGTTTTCATGTGCAGGCATGCATGTGTATGTGTAGGAATGCATGCGTATGTGTAGGCTGTGCATATGTGTGTTCAAGTATGCATGTGTATGTGTAGGCATGTGTGTGTGCATGTGTAGGTATGCACGTGTATGTGTAGGCATGTGTGTGCATGTGTAGGCATGTGGTGCATGTGTGGGCATGCATGTGTAGGCATGCATGTGTGTGCATGTGTAGGCATGCATGTGTATATATGTGTGCATGTGTAGGCATGCATGTGTATATATGTGTTCATGTGCAGGCAGGCATGTGTATGTGTGGCATGTGTGTATATGTGTATGTGTAGGCATGTGTATATATGTTTATGTGTAGGCATGTGTAGGAATGCATGTGCATATATGTGTTTATGTGCAAGCATGCATGTGTAAGAATGCATGTGCATATATGTGTTTATGTGTAAGCATGCATGTGTAGGAATGCATGTGCATATATGTGTTTATGTGCAAGCATGCATGTGCATATATGTGTTTATGTGCAAGCATGCATGTATGTGCATGTGCATATGTATGTGCCCATGTGTGTGCATGTGTAGGCATGCATGTACATATGTATGTGCCCATGTGTGTGCATGTGTAGGCACGAATGTGCATATATGTGTTCATGTGCCGGCATGTGTGTGTATGTACTTGAGTGTGTGTTGTGTGATCCTTAGCATGTGACTGAATATACAGCATATGTAAATGTGTATTTATGTGCATATGATTATTTCTATGTAATTGTTTATTAATCAATATCTATTTGTTCATGTTTATTTGCTGAGCATAATAATGCTTTTATCTATTACTAAGACTGTCTATCAAAACAAGGTATTACATATCTGAAAATTTTGCATCACATCACTTTGAATATGATAGTAAAAGTCCCTACATATCACAAAATTTGTTAAGAACTATGTAAATCCTCCATATAAAGTTTACAGAATGACAGGCTTTACTTCTTATACAAGGATATAGTTGCAATTAAAAAATGATCTACTGTACAAATGTCTAGATCACCGACAAACACAGCTCAGTCCTACTTGTAAAGATTTAACTATAAAACAACTATAACAACTATAACTGTTCATTCTAACAATTTCTTTGAGCACCATACAGCATATCTGCACATACACTGATGAATATACATACACACAAACATACACAGAAAGAGCAGTTATAAAGCAACCAAACAAACACACACAAACATACACACAAATACAAACACATACATACTAATACAAACACACACAAAAAAGAAAAACACACTTACAATACATACAAAAAATATACATATAAACTATACAAAAGAGAGAAACGTGGAGAGAAAAAGAAATCCTACCTGCGAAATGGGCGTTAAAGGGGGTGGGCCGTTGGGACTGCCAAGCGACGAGGCGATGGTCCCTCGAAGCCCATCCATCTGGTCATGGTCGTCATCATGTTCATGGTCATGGTCATCATCTTCATCCTGTGGTGAATGGCAATGACTTATTACAAGATCTTTAATTTTTGTTGACAGTAATAAAGATGCATTTTACTTTCTTAGTATGTATTTTTTGAAACTATAATTACTAATGACTTTTCTGTTTCATCACAACTATTACTGATATTCAAGTAATTTAGTTATTTCATGAACATTTGTCTATACTTTGAAATCTTTACTCCTATTCAATACTTTACCAAAATGTAAAATGGGTATGACAAAATAAATGTGCAGAATTACACACACAAAGTTATAAAATAAGTCCAATCTAAAAAGGACAACAAAACATTCTATGGAACCTACTTATATATAGAAAAAACATTCATATGGCAATATTACTTATTATCTTATGTAGGCTATATGAATAATAATGCAAAATGCAACTAAGAAAGAGACAATACCACATATTTTCATGCAAGAATCAGCATAGAAAGAATGGTTCATACCTTCATAAAATAATCTACCAGGAATGAAATAAGAAAATTATAGCAAACGCACAATCCTACACTGTCTAAATAATTGCTACTAAAGTCGTAATTTAGAATGATTTTTAAAAATTTAGCATTTTCATCCCAGTGCACAATACCAGCATTCAGTGAGACAGTCATGGTCACAATGCTGTAAGATTACCAAGCAATCTAGCACATAGATATAAAATTATCATATGGCATATTCCCAATCATGCTCAAAGAAGAAAAAAAGACAAACATACAAAGATGTACTTCAAAAAATGAAAAAATAAATAATCAAAATGGGAACCAACATAAGGATGTTTAGAAATACATGCACATCTACTATCCATGCAAAATGACTGTCAGTATAAAGTACTTTGCCTCTGTTTCATTGGAAGAGATGAAGAGAATTTCAACAGACAGTGCATGACAATTGCAATAATCAAATTGGTTTTTAATTTGACATCTAGTAATATAAGATGTGACAAATAATCAGTAAGTAATGCAACCACTCCAGAAGATAGTGGCTTAGGATATCTGATAGGAATTATGGAAAAGGAGAAATGTCCTAATGTCTGTTATATCATCTCCCAAGGAAAACTGTGCAGCATTCCAAAGACCATCCAGGTATTTACCTTGAAACCTCCACCATGGAAATTAAAAGTTGCATTTCACATATGTATCTAACAAAAGACTCTGTAGAAGAAACTCTTTGTGTTTGGGTGTAACTTAAATCTAATGAAAAAAAAAAATCTTTTCAACCTTTTTTCTGGTGATTTCATTAAAATGACTTTGCTTTGAGGAATGATGACAATCTTGAAGCCAGAATTTTTCATCAATGTAATATTTTTTTTTTTCTTTTAATATGAAATTTATGACTTACTGACAGCAAACAGACTATACATATATACATATGGCATATATACGTATATACATAAATACAAGCAGTATATACCCACACCTGCATATACATACATACATTATATTATATATATATATATATATATATATATATATATATATATATATATATATATATATATATATATATGTATTTGTATGTGTATATATTATATATTAAATATTAATATATAAATATATATATAAATATAAATATATATATATTGTTTTTCTTCCTCTTTCTTTTTTTAATATGGGTAGAAAAAACACACCAATATATGCTTAATATTTATTAGAAAAGCTACAAAAGCATTCTACAAAAGTACCAAAAATAGTGTCCCTTTCCAAAAGTATATACTGGAATATTAATTTTCTATTTTGCTATTACAGAATGCAAGGCCTCGGCTCAGAAAACAGAAAGAAAAAAAAATTAACACTTGGAAGGCATAAGATCACAGTTTTGATAAAAAATTTCAGTTAACTTGTGCATTGCTACAGTCTCTCTTACGCTATCTGGGATGTGTGGATACGTCCTATTAAGATTTCTAATTAAGGCACGTAAAAAATATTACTTTGTTTCTGCTTATGAGGATTTTTGAGGGGACATTTCAAAAAAAAATTTCACTGAAAGCATTTTTAACCAGCAAAGGTTTCTTATATATCACGAAGTTGTACATGCTCATGGCATCCTAAACTGTCTCTAAAATAATTACCCTCTAATCTCAATTCTTGAGTCACAAACAATACAGCAAAAACAAAGGTACTTTTTCCAGGCCTATCTAATGTACTGGCATTCTTCCTCAACTCACTTTGAAACTATAAATATAATGTAGAAAAGCTTAAGAAAATTGGATAAGCTTTATTTGCTTAAACCCTTGACCCATAACAAAAAATATTGACAATTCTTACTGGAAAACAAAAATACTGAACGCATCTAACTATCACCGGAATTAGGGTAAAATACTGAAGTGGGCGCAGCTTCAAATGCTGCTACCTAGTGCTCTGCTGGGCGGGGATATATCTTAATATATATAAAATACACTAAAGGGATATCTTCCTCTGATTTACAAACATACTTGTCTCAACCACTTGCAAATATATTCATATAAATAATGATAACATAAAGAGTATATAATCCATTTTGATCTCAACATTCAACTCTCAAAATTTACCTTTCACTATTTGGCAGCTTTTGAAACTTGCTGATTTTATTCACACAAGCCAAAAACAACACCCGAGTCAAAAGAACCCCCACATTTAATCGAATGCACACATATACACACTCAAGAGTTACATGTATATTCATACTTGTACCTATGTAAGTATTTATCGACAAAACTAATCGTGTTTAGTATTCATAAATATACACAGGTACATGTATGCCTACACATCTACTTACACACGGACAAACAAAAACGATATAGTTGTCTGGTTAAGAATCATTCAATTTTATTGTCATTGTTACATATATGAATTGTGACTGCACAGCAACTGCAAATATTGATTATTCAAAGGACAAAAAAATCAACATAAATCTAACAAGTTTTTTCCTTCCATTGTCATTATGAATACCCCTCCAAATCTGTAACATTCTGTTTACTGTTTGTTTAGCATATGCTGTCATAATTCATATGGAAAAAATCATCTTCTGTGATGAGATGAACAGGAAATCTAAAACTGCCAAGATCACAATAGTTATTCAAGCAAAACAAACACTTAAATTATACCATTGACATTGGTAACTTTTCCTGATTCAGCAAACACAAGTGACTTATCTATGAAGTAGAGATAATGCTTTCTTTTTTTCCAAATACAACCCAATGTAATCAGTAAGGACACTTTTGAGTTTTCTTTTTGTAATTTTCTCTGAGAAAAATATATATCTGACACTGATTTTATATATAAAATACATTCACAAACAGTTTTCCTTAGAAGAGTATTAAAAGAATTATCTTGTAAACACAATATAATAATGGATTTTCGATTCTTTGCATAGTGTTGAGCACAGGGTATATCAAGCATTAGGATCTAGGCTACAAGCCTTGGTATATAAATATATGTGTATATAATATCATCAAATACTCAAAAGTTCATCCTTGCATTTTGACCAACCATCACTGTTAAATTTCATCATTACAAAAAATGTCATTATCCCCAATATGTAAAAAAAAAAAAAAGCATCTTTGAGAGTAAACATACAATATCAATTGAGGTATTCACAAACATAACCTCTGGTTAGATGTATGAAAAACTGGCTGATCGGTGAACCTTGAGTACTTAACCTTTACATTGAACTCCTTAAAAACTAGGTAAAAAATTCTGAAGGATGCTATTTGAGGGACTGGAACGTACTTTGGGATTCTCTTGTAATTGGTCATTGAGCAAAGAGCAAGATCTGCTGACTGGACATGATGAAATATTGACTGATTAACCTCAATAGCTCTTTCAAGAATGGTGTTACAACCGCTTATCCTACATATATATATATAATCATTACCTTAAAACATAATCATGCAAAAATAAATTAATCATGTTTGTCATTTAACCCAACCCAATATGTTGATATATAATGCAATAATAAAATAAATACGACTTGATAAGAACACTTTCTGAGAATTTTCTAAGTGGCTATCTGTGGCTCAAGTGAAGAAATATTTCATAAAATACATGCTTCTAATGCTTTTTTTTGCTTTTTTGTATTTATTAAATCATATCATCTGGAAGCCCTAAGCCTAATACTCTAGTTTTCAAGCCACAAGAGAGAGAGGGAAAAAATAATAAATAAAAAGAAGTATACACATACAAAACGCTGAAAATACAAAAATGGGGCTTTTATATAGAGTATAATTTTTTCTGTTTTTTGCTTTTTTGTAATATATATAAGCATGTTATATCATCACTTCCAGCAAAACTAAAACACCTAATTTCTTATTCAACCATAAAAGAGAAAGTAAGTTTGTGTCTCCTTATGTAGCAGCATGAGGAGACTCCATACCATCACAAGATGAGACACAAAATAACAACCATGCATTAATACAGGGATCATACTGCAATGAAAATCATACAACCTCTTGGATATTTCTGTCAAGCACTGTCATCTCCTAGTGCTTAATCACTAATGCGGATAAATAAATTATGATAAGTATGTCTACCTTGTGTAAAAGAATGTCCGGGCTTAGTGTCTGAAGTGCGTCAAGTGTATGTGTTTGTGTTTATGTCAATAGTATATGCTTGTCATCCTGTTTTTTTCTTCTTTTTGGGGGTTGTATTTTCACAACTCTGCAAATACTGTAAGATACCTATGAAAAAGAGATGTTGCCTTCTTAGAAAATGTATTCATGTAAGTGCTTTGTTATGGCTTTCATGTGTAAGAGCTAGTATCCTAAAGAAGGCTCTTAGATATATTTTGTAGTTCTTGGCTTTCTCACCACTTGAACTAATCTCTCTGATGGCCACCCAACTGCTGGGTGAGTAATGCTTGTAAAATAACTTTTACTATCCTTATACCAAAATATTTTCAGAAAATAATCAAAGGCCTCTGTATACTGCATCATTGTATATAAAAAGTAGTATATGAAATAGATATTATATAAAAGGAAGTTTTACTATAAATTGTATTCTGTTCTGAATATTCATAGACAACTCTTAATATGATAGAAAAAACACTGACCATCTGAGTAATAACGAAATATTGATATATGTATTTTATCACTTTGTCATCACAAGGCTTATCATGATGTGCAGATATGAGAATTTATTTAAGGAGTTACAGCTGTGGCTTGCAGGGGCCAAGTGACGGCTGGCCCAGTTGGGTGTTCATTCTGGCCATTATTCAAGTGTATGCGTCGGATGTGCTTCTCCAGGTGGACATTCTGAGAGGCAGCATAGTTACAGTGGGGACAACGGTAAGGTCTCTCTCCCGTGTGGGTGGTCAGGTGGCGGCGGAGGTTGTAGGGCTGCCCAAACTGTTTCCCACACACGGGGCACATAAAAGACTGCTTGTCGGCAGGTGCCACCTGAGCCAAGTCTGGGGTACTGCCCCTTGGGGAGGTTGAGGCCGTGTAGGGAGTGAAGGCCCCACTAGCTGGGCCCATAGGTATGGCAGCAGTCTTCGGACAGGCACCAGTCATTAGCTGAGCGATGCTTGTGGGTGTGCTTGCAGCAACGGGTTGGCGTATCTCCACCACAGGAATGAGGGCAGCTGGACGAACATGATCCCAGTCCTACAAAAAACAAGTCCTTTGTCAGTCGAGTAAAATGTCAAAAGTAGAAAGGGTTGGGCATCTTGCACAAGTCAGGGTCAGGGTCTGGATGTAACTGCAATCATTATCAGATAAATCCTAGAATGGCTCCTAAGAAATACTGTGGCAGAATTCTATCAACTGTTACTATTATCGATTCTAGACAAGCACTTAATAAGCTACATTTACTCTAAAAAATTCATACTGAATCTAAAAATTTAAATCGCTTTAGTAAAATGGTTTTGCACTGAGAAACTTCATGGCACAGCAAGACTTTGAAAAAACAATCATATCTCTATCCTTCTGTCATTTTCCCTGTAACTGCACCATCAACATTATATACTATGAAGGAAGTAAAATCACCATCTTATCTTCTAATACGAAGTGTTTATATTTACAGTATTTGTTCTATCTACACACTCATTTCTTGTTTGAAATTTACAAAGTGTTAGCTTCACATGCTATTTTCTCATCTGATAATGAAATTGCACCCAACATTTAATGCAACATGTAAAATGTATACTTTAAAAAATTAAATGAGTGAAAAAATAATTAATTATATTCATACTATCTGTCTTTACACGAGATATTGTCTTAGCACCTTAAAGAGAAAGTTGACTACTATTCTATCAAATACTTAAATTTGGAACCAACATATCTTTCAAAAGTCAGTCTTCTTCATGTCAAACCCTAGCCAAAGTCTCAAGTGCAACGCTTTATGAAGTCCTCTTAGCCAACTGACCCCAGTGCTCTTCATAGCTACCGCTAAATTTGCGCCAACAAATTAAAGAACAAAGGAAAAATATATTCTTCCCATCAAGAAGATTTAGGTTGTCACAGACTTTTATAAAATACCGTAATAGTCAAAACTGGGTCCATATAACCTTAACCTGCCACCAACCAGAGACCAGTACCCTATAGGAACCAACCAAACCCTTTCCATTAGTCCAGTACCCTAAACCAGAGCCCATCCATCACAGGAAGAAGCCAAAAGTCCGAAGATCAGGGAGGAGTAGAAAACGTCAAGTCAGGGGAGATAGGAAGACCAGTCACAACAGAAATGGTGGTGAATGTGATCGAGTCAGAAGTCCAGTCATTTACTATAAACTAGTAAAAAATGTACATATATATATATATATATCTATAATATGAGAACAAAGGTGGAGGTGCAAAAAGTTGTGGGTAAAGATAGGGGCAGCTTGTCAACCATTCTGTCTGTGCGGAAATAAAACTCAACCTTGAGTATATTTTCTAAATACACATAAATATGCTCCAGTAAGGGAAACAATATGAAAATGAAAAAAGTAACATAAAACAAAGAGGAAAATACCGAAAAAATGGTATGGTCTTTCCTGTGTACATTTCTTTATTTATTCATTTATTTCTTTACTGCGTGTCATTTTTCCTTTCTTTTTTTTCATGTAAGTGTGTGTGTCCGTGTGTGTGTTTTTTTTCTTCATATGCACTGACTTCCAACTTCCAAAAATATTAATTCATATATCAACTCTTAAAAGAATTGATAAACAGTAACTTAAAATCAAAGTTATATATGAATAAATCAAAAAAAATACTTGTACACTGCATACAACAATAATAATGATAATAACAACAATAATAATAATAATAATAATAATAATAAAAATTAATAAATAATAATAAATGGTAAAATACACCCCAACAAAACAAACGAGCTAAATAAAAACTTCCCAAAAGGGATAAAAATTGATCCTCCGCAAAACAGGATGAAGGAAAACTGATGTTAAACATTTAAATGTATTTTTTTATTGAACATATCACACACATCAACACTTAAAAGACATATAACAGGTATCCAGTTTTGTAATTATCAAAGTAACATCTAACATGTGTCACTAAACAGATAAAGAGATAATTCCATTTCAACAGTTGTCATATATTAAAAACACTCCACTATTCTGCTTTTCACTTCTGGGAAACAGAAACATGCCATTGAATTCTGCTAATACTGTAAAAGATACTTCCTCTCAATGTCAATGTAGCATATACTTTTTGTCTTGGAAAGATGGCATGAAATCACTATTAGAAAGAGTTAACATTTGTAAAAGGGGTAAATTGTACAAGTTCTGTTTTTGAAGCTTTTAAGAAACACACATACCTTCACACGTATAGTTACAGACACACAAAAAGTACAGGCACACATCCAGACAGACAAACAGTCTGACCTGGTACCACTCTGACTGTTACAACCTCACGTTCTAAACACTGTAATCTATACTAGGTAATACGCACATGAAAAATTTAACTGCATGTTAGATAAGCATCTCATAAAATGAAAGGCAGCTAAAATTGTGTACATTTTCAATAAGAAAACATTAATCAAAGCATCATGAGTAACTAATATCCTACATTATAAATTCAAATATATATCCTTTATTGTTTAACTGTTGGGCACTATGTATCTAACCATGAAAGCAAACTATCTGCCTTGTGTCTGAAAAGCAAAACAAGTGCTTGTTTATTTTTTGTCAAATTCACCCACTCTCTTCCACACTGGAAACACACATGAGCATAGATCCCCCCCCCCCCACACACACACACACATGCAAGGCCAAACACGCACAGAAAGAAAAGAAGGGTTCATATAACAAACTAACCTAAGAACCTATATTTCCTTAGGTACATGTTCAAAATAAGTCTACTGAATCTTCAGTACAATTGCATGTTAAGTTCAAGCTATTCAAGAATAGAGACTCCTACATAAGAACACTACTTAAATCTACATTTTCATTTGGTTCCTGCACATTCCATGTTGATTGTCTACATGAGATATAACATTTAGTAAATTCCAAAACTAAGACAAAAAATATTCTACATTGGCTTCTGCTCTATATAAATATCTATAGTATAAAAAGAAAATGAAAGACTTTATAATAAATATACAGTATTGTCATCGCATGACTACTATACACAACTGTTTTGGTTAATATCTTGCTTGCAAGACATTTACTTTTATCACAAGTAAGAAGAAATTTGATGTATTTAATTGGCCTTCTTTTGATTTTCTCAAGTGATATTTGAAACTATATTTCTATCAAAACTATATCACATCATATGCACTACCACCTGGACATATATACACACCACATAGCTTCTCTTTACTATTGTATCTCCTTGATAGATAGATATCTTGGAAAAGCTTACAAAAAGTTATAACACTCAGTGACATAACAGGTGCCTATAATTAATGACTAACTAGCTAATATCAACAGAGCTTAACTCCACAGGAGAGTTTATTATACACAAGTCAATCAAACCAAATCAACAAACTATCTCACTATCATCATCATAAATTATAAATATAATCATCTATAATTGTCTATAGTGTACTATCATCACAACTAGGACTTTATAATGTTCTTTTAAGGCAGAATACTTCTGCAAAAAACATAATTCATTATCTTTTTCCTAGAATCAAGTAGAGCAAAAAACAAATATCTATCTTTTTTCCTACTTTAGGTAATCAACTTGAAATCTGAAATAAACTTCAAACAACTTACACAGGTGTATAAAAATAGCTATGTATCTTTAAAATCTGCTAACTAGTTTTAAAAAAATACATCTACGTTAAATTTCACTTCCTGTAGATCTAGATATGTATAACAGATCAAAATATGTCAACAACAAAGACATGACTATAATGGCTAATACTTTTCCCAGGATGTAAACTCAGTTCACTACACAAAATAGTTTTGTATATGAAAACAAATAATGTTTCTAATATACAAATTGGTAATATGAACATCCCATGTGTGTATGCAGTTCTGTGGATGATATGCATCTATTAAAAAATAGCATGTATTTGAATAAATTTGTCATGTATAATTGTGCTGGTTTAGGTAAGTGTACATATATATGCATCGGTTTATGACTGTGTGCATGTGTATATAGGGATTTGTGATGGGAATAATTCATTTTCCTGGTAATCCTGATATTCATCAATTTACTACCTGGTACATAATAATTTTCCTACTCACTGGCTTACTATACTGTTTACTATACTGTTTAGTTTGATTTCAAAGTGCTTTATGCTTGTTATTTTTCTTCACAAGGTATTCTGTTTCACTGTAACTGACTGATGCAGTATGAGGTTCACATTGAGCAAATCAGTTGAATATCAAAAGTAAAACAAAAACAGTATGCACTGTGGTTCTATTCATGTGAATTTGTCTGCAAGAATTTCAAATATCTGAAATGAGACATAAATTCTTTAATGGAAAATTATTCTGAGGATGCTCTTAGTATCACATTCTGCTTTGGCTTACTGGTCATATACAATTTTTTCTTTAATTAATATCTTCACTATGCTACTTAAATCTTTCTGGAAGAGCACTTTTCTCCTAAGAACATGTCACTAGAAAGAAAGCTTAAATGTATACCACTTTGGCACCATACCCTGCTATATACTAGCTACTGTAATTCTCAAATGTAGTGTAGCATTTCACTGCTGGGTTCAACCAGACTTTGATATGAGCAAAAGAAGTTTGTGTCTCTTCTATGGAACTTCTGACTTCAAAAGTCTCACTAACAGGTCCCTCAATGACATCCTGAGGGGGAATGATAATAAGTGCATAATTGCTTCAAGGGGCATTTGTGGATAAGGCAGATTCTTCATTTTGGGATTCAGAGACAGGGGGCGTGGATGCAGGTTGCGAGGCTACCACCGGAACAGTTGGCGGGGGAGGGGACTCGGGTTCGGAGGGGAGTTGGTGAATGGGGTGCATGGCTGAGCTGTGTTGGTCGGGTAAGTCACGGTGACGGCGCCCGAGGTGCTTCTTGAGGTGGGATCGCTCAGTAGCACGATAGGGGCAATAAGGACATGGGTGGAGGCGGCGATCATGGGTGACCCAGCGCCGAAGTGTGGTGCGAGGTACATTGAAGGCTCGTGCTGCTTGCCGACCTGTCATATGCCCCCCAGCCACTGCCTGTACAGCCAGCATGAGTTGTTGCTTCTCCAAATTAAGACTGCCACCTGCAGAGTTTACAACACCAATAGCATGACTGCTGGCGGCACCACTGCTGCTGCTGCCACTGCTAGTCCACATTCGACGGGTATCTGCGGCAGCCAGACCACACCCGCCCACGCCCTGCAACAACCACACAACACCTCAGCCATGCCTTTTCTTCGATTTTATGTTTTTCTTAATACCTCTCATTTTCCACCTTCCTTATCTCCTTCTGTTGTGGCATCTCCTGACAGCAAACTTATATAAATATCCCTTAAATATATATTACCATGCATTTAGTATGACCACACAAAAAACAAGAATGAAATAATGATCTTCCATCCCCTCCCAGAGCAACATGGCTTTCACATGTTGAGGAATACAAATGAAAAACTAAATAATATTCTTATTCAAGGCATTTACTTCCTCCCCAATATAAATATATGAGAATCACAACAATCACAAATGGTTAAGTTATATCTTCATTTAATACTATGCCATTTTCAATTATCTTTTTGACAAGTATTGTAAACTAAAATATGTGGAGCACCATCAGGAAGAACAATTAGGAAATGGGAAAGAGGGAGTGAGCAAAATAACTGATTATCAACTTAAAATGGCTTTTCAGTGGGACTTTGATAAGGAAACTTGTGTAATAAATTTAGAAAACATCTAGAAAGTCTCATGTGAACTGGATATGATTAAATGATTTTTAAAGAAATTGAAGAGTAGAGAAAATAAAAATTGGTTTCAATAAGAATTTGTGTAATCCAAGCTGCTTAACTCGCACAATTTTTCTTTGATGGAAAGGTATGTAAAAGGGCTTCCCATTTAATGAAAAAGAGAGAAGAAAAGCATATTTGGAACCAGAATGACTTTGGCAGTTTTAAATTATTTCTGCACAAGTTTCTTAAATATAATAAATTCTTTCTCCTTGATTTTTCATTCATCTTTGTCATAAATATATTTTTAATCAAGTCCCAAAGTGTCATTTTCAATTAATTTTACACAATATCCTAAATGCTTTCTATTTCATTACACCAGAATATTTGATTCCAGGGTATAACTTGTCTAGCAGCAGCAAGATATATTGTAGTTAATATGACTGTCTCTTCTTTTCTACCACATTTTGCCAGATTCGCAATAAATTATTCACCAAACTGCTTTCAGAATCATAATTTGTTTGAATAACAATTTTTTTTTTACTTTCCTTCTTTCTTCAACAAGGAAAGAAAACTGAATCAGGAAAGGAGTTTCTTCCTCCTAGTTTGATAAGGATGATCAAATCAAATGCCAGAGTATTGCTTCAAAAATTCAAACATTTTAATTGATACTACAAACATAAAAAGTGTTACGGAATTCAGTACTTCACAAGAATGTTTTAAGTAAGACATGTTGAAATCTGGGTTGCAAAATAAGACAAAAAGCAAAATATATCAACACACATCTTTTTAATTCATGTGCAAAGGTCCAGTAAAATAACATCATAAGCTCTTAAAAAAGACAAACCTATAATAACATCTACTCATTTGTATTTGGAAAAATAGTTTTAAAACTCCTTATACTTTTCATTAATTCAGTGTACAACACTCCCACCCATTGCTACATACTTCTTAAAAAAACATTCCTGGTGGTAATTTTGAGCAGTACCAATCATCATCAAAAGAAACTGAACATAAAAAACTAAATCATAAAGATAAGTATACAAATAATACTATACTACCATCTTAAGCTTTTAGAAAACAGAATCTAAATGAGAAAAAATTGTTTAATATTTCAGTACTTAAAGTCACCTTTCTTGTTTCCCATCAATAAATCTTGTTGATACAACACCAGAAATCTAACAGGCTACTCAATTACTAAGGCTATTTTGTATAGTCTAAAATGTATATGTATATACACATCTTAAACACTGATAACTCATTTTCCCAAGATATCAATCTTACAGAGCAGTGAATTTCAGCAAATCAATATTTCAGACAAAAAAAAAAAGAAAAAAAGAAAAAAAAAAGACCATCCAATTACCAATATCTTAAACTGTATTATCTCACAAACTATCATATCCATCTCTTAATGGAAACAAACTGACGGCCAACAACTTTCAAGAATATTGGCATGAAAAACTAGAACCTTGATTAGACAGTGCTCCACACGTGCATGCTACTTTGCATTGGTTTGAAACAGAAGTGCAAAATCTTGTGAATTGATTTTAAATTACAAACAAAAATGTCTCCTTAAGAGGCATTTCCAAATAGAATGATAGTAAAAACAACATGGAACAAGAATGGAGCTTATTGTATGCAAAATCAAATGCATTAATAGCAATCAGACAACATGGTAAAATCACAAAGGGTGTGTGCAATGATCTAACAAAATTTCCACAAACATTACCCACATAAAATCCAAAAAAGTAAAACTCAGTCTCATGATTTTCAGCCTAAACCTATGAATCAAAATGAATCCATTACTGCTAGGTCTACATATATGGGCAGTTGTGACCACTCTTCATTATAAACTTGACAAGTCTTCTCTATGTATACAAATCTACAACAGGTGATTACTGGTGAAAAATAAAATAACAATAAGAATGATTAAAAAAATAAATATCAAATTAACATTCTCCTCAGAACAGTGAAAAGACCACTTTCAAATACATTCCCATTTTAATGTTTTCTTGTGTACAGTGAAAAGTGTCAAGAATGTTAGTGAAGAGGATATATTATTGAAGTGTGATAAAAGTGCATGAAGTGTGAATTCAAAATAAGTGAGGGGAGGGGGGCTAAGAGCAGACAAGCGTAGATGGTCTTCAAAACAGGGGAGGGAGTGGCAGGTGTATCAATGATGTGACTTTCAGGGTAATAATAAGGAAAGTATATGTATGTGGGGAGAGGGATACATCGAGCCAAATACAGGCTATATTTTCTGTATCTAAAAGGAATGTGAAGTGTGAACATGTAATAAATCTGTTATATGGAAGAGCATTGCGGTGACAGAGGGCAAAAAGTGTATAAACTGCTTTGGTATCCCATATATAAAGAATGTGTATAAAATGTATGAGTCTACATGGTTTAGAATACAGATGAGAGGTGTCTGAAGCAAAGAGTATGAGCAAAAAGTTAAAAGACAGTGTTCTAAGTACCATACAAAGAACATTCAGCATAAGTAAAAGTTCTAAGTACCACACAAAGAACATTCAGTATAACCAAAAGTTCCAAGTAATACAAGAACATTCTAAGTACCATACAAAGAACATTTCAGTAAGTAACCTAAGTACCACACAAAGAACATTCAGTATAACCAAAAGTTCCAAGTATCATACCAAGAACATTTAGTATAAGTAAAAGTTCTAAGTACATACCACCAGAACATCCAAAAGTTCTAAGTATCATATAAAGAACATTCAGTATAAGTAAAAGTTCCAAGTACCATACCAAGAACATGAGTATAAGTAAGAGACATATGTGTGTGGGAGTGAGTGAGGGATGCAGTTAACTGTATGACTTTGTGGGAAAATGACAAGCAACATGAAAGAGGATGAGTGCTGTGTAGTCATCACTGACAGACTAAAATAAATCTATGTAGGTGTTGTGTACATTTGCTCGACGCTTGACTTATCTGTCTGTGAACAGTATAAATATTTCCCTGAAATTTCACATTCTTCAGTAAATGAGCTTTTTTACAGTATATAGCAACACAGTAAATATATTAGGCATGTAAAACCCATTTACCGGCACATAATCCCTGCAAGTTGTTTTTTAAACTTTATTTCATTTTCCTTAACATTCCAGAATATTAATGTTCAAGCATACATTTCATTACAAATCTGCTGAACCTCTGATATTGCCATACGAAATATTCGTTTGTCAAACCCGGATATGAGTGAGAGTGAGGTGTATTGATTCCCCAAACGCACGCGTGTGACGACGCTTGCGTGCACCTGGCGGATGTGTGCGTGCGCCTCACACACGAACATACGCACACACACACGCACACACGCGCGCGAGGTGTTCGGCTGAGGCCGGCACCGGCTTGGGACTCGTTACAGCGGATGCGTGCGTGTATATGACGTGCAGAATGCCACATCCCGTAAGTTTCCAACATTTATTTATTGTTTTCTTTTCTGTCGTTATTTGTGTTTTTTGTTTATGCTTATTTTCATACTTCATAGTTGCGTAGAGTCAATGAACAGTTTCCAAGTCTTTTTGTCACTGAGGAACGAGGCAGAGCATCTGAACCTTGAACCAACAACCGCTACCCGTGTGGCTACGGCTTCGGACTCGGGCTTTTGCGTGCGAGACGTTTGCGTGCGAGTGATTGCGTGTCAACAGCCCCCCCTTTCCCCCACGTTGTCCGACTGCCTGCATTTTGGCTTCGTTTGGGAAAAATTCGGCTCCATTCCCCCCCTCCTCTTTTTTTCTTTCTTTCTTTTTTCTTTATTCTTTTTTCACACAGTTGGTTGTGTGTTTTTTATCTCTTTCCCTCTATCTACCTCTTGTTTTCTCTCCCTCCATTTCACCGACGTGTGAATTCCATACGAGGCGAAAAGGCGGAGGAGAAAGAGAGGAGGAAGAGGAGCCGGAGGAGGGGGAGAAGGGAGGCCCCATCGGTCGTGTACAGCCTCTCTCCCGCGGCTACTCTACTCGGTCCAAGTGGCATACTCCTGACGGTGGCGGCGGGCAACATGGGACTTGCGGTGCGAGCGTTCGGAAGCAGCGTACGGGCAGAAGGGGCATGGGTACGGCCGCTCCCCCGTGTGTGTACGGATGTGTCGCTGGAGGTTGTAGGGCTGGTCGAAACCCTTGCCGCATATAGGGCAGTGCCGCCTGTAGCCGTCTCCCAGGAATCCCTGCAAGAGACCGAAACTCTCAGCTGCCGCCCCTAGTCTACATCAACAACCATTACATTTACGTGTTCAAGACAACGTGTTACTACCTCGTTCCTCAATCTGTCATTTCTTATTAATTATTTCTCATTTTTTAAATTAGGGGCCCCTTTCTTTCATTCCATGATTTATCAGAGAAAATTTTGGTGGGTTACATTTAAGTTCTCCTGTAGACGTTTGTCGCTCGTTTCTCGGTCGTCTCAAGTGTGTCATGTCGTTATGCAAATGTCAGCCTGGGCGATGCTATATTCCTCCGGTTATATCCCAGTCCTCTCTCTATCTGAATTACACAGGATGGCTTCGCAAGGCCTATTCAAATTCGTAACCCACTCTAGCATCATCAAAATCTAGACAATACTACATGGTCAATATCCTTTTTGGGCACATTTCTCGTTTGTCTCAAGCCACTACGAGAGCATGTGGGTTTTCCAAACAAAGACTTTCCAGTGCCGCAAAGTAGCTACCGGTAAATTATCTATCAGGCCACAGAGATTCCCAATTCGAAACTCTGAGATTATATATATGTATATATATAATTATATATATTGTATATACTATATATGGATATACATATATATTGCCTACCCTGTACTATTTTCCCACCCATAAGTCCATTAGCCAGAAGTCACGTGATCTCAAATCTCTCCCCTCCTCCCCTTGTCCTGTGCGGTTCCTCCTCCTTCGAGTCCCCAGCACGTCGGTCGGTCGCCGTCACTCACGTCGACTCTGAGTGTCATACCAACTAACAGAGGTGCAGTCATTTGTCACTCGTGGGTTGTCATACGGGGTCGTTCGTTTGTCACGTGAGCGGAGTCATGAACCGCCACCATTATATCAAGCTCAGGTTGCTGAACCTCGTCACAGTACAGAAAGGCTTATTTTTTCCTCGTGTGTCACGTCAGTCACCGCTTTCAAAATTCAGCCCAAATAGACTCGGTTCTTACCCAACATCCCTACTTTTATACTCAAATAACAAAAAAAGGTTATAGGATTAAGAAAAAATACACAAACGACAAATTACAAATATATAAATCAATAAATCGCCCAATAAAAAATAAATAAAATAAAAAACCACAAATCAGCCAGCATAAAGGCACGATGGTTCGCTATCAACGGCGTGTCGCTGAAGCCTAGATGGGTCTTCATAACTCGAGTCTGTTTCAGTGGATATGTATCAGATTTTGCTCTGTGTAGTCCGAACTGGTAAAGCGATTGACGAATGGGAACTGTTAATGTATATGCATTTACAAACTGGCGTGGGATGAAAACAAAAATGGAAGGGAACAGATACTGGTAAACAGACGGGCATAGGCCATTGTGTATATACATACATACACATGCACGCAGAGAGAATATATATGCGCATGCATAAATGCATGTGTATACATTTGAATGCATGTATGCACATATATATATACAGCATGTGTAATGAAGGGGGAGGGAGGAAGGGATAGAAAAGAGAAGAAATTAACGAAAAGAGAGAGAGAGAGAGAGAGAGAGAGAGAGAGAGAGAGAGAGAGAGAGAGAGAGAGAGAGAGAGAGAGAGAGAGAGAGAGAGAGAGAGAGAGAGAGAGAGAGAGAGAGAGAGAGAGAGAGAGAGAGAGAGAGAGAGAGAGAGAGAGAGAGAGAGAGAGAGAGAGAGAGAGAGAGAGAGAGAGAGAGAGAGAGAGAGAGAGAGAGATTACGGCGGGCTGGTTGGTTGGTTGGTAGCAGAAGGTTAGAAGAGGGGAAGAGGGGGAGGGAGGGGAGAGGGGAGGAAAGGGAGGGTAACGAACATAAACACGCGCGCAAACGTACAAACACAGCGAATATACAAACAATATCAGCCGTTTGCCAGACTTCAAAAAGTTCAACATGTTTCCTTTAAGTTGCGTCCGACTAGGTAGCCTTCCATTTTGGCGAATTCTCGCAAGCAATTTCTCCACAAGTTACACCAATGTTTTACTCTCTTATACAAAGGAGAGAATGTGTTCTGTTTCATCTACATAAATGTTCATCGTATGAATATGGAAGTTTACACACACACTCCCCACTGCCTGCACCATTCACGTTCGAGCGCCGGCCGGGCCTGGTAAGTGTTAAGCCGAAGCCGGTGCCGGCGTTGGGACACGGCGGCCCAACAAACAGGACGTGAGGGTGTATATATTTGTGCGAGCCATTGTGTGTGTGTGTGTGTGTGTGTGTGTGTGTGTGTGTGTGTGTGTGTGTGTGTGTGTGTGTGGTGTGAGAGAGAGAGAGAGTGGAGCAGAAAACAAATGAGGGTGCGTGTGCGTGGTGGGCTGGTATGCGTGCCGACATGGCGGGCGGTGGGAGGGTGAGGGGGGGGGAGGGGGAAGGGTGTGTGCGTGTGCGTGCGTGCGTGTGTGCGTCCTGTTTGCGGCTCGCATGTTCTCGTATATTCCAACAGCCATGCATGTGCTTCCCGGTCCTGAACACCCGGTACATGTACCTCCTCTTTCAAGTCTTGCCGAGTTACTGCGCTCGCGGTCTCTCGACGCCAAGCACAAAACAAAATAACCGGAATAACATTTCTAGCGGCATGGAACCACAAACTCGAATAACAAACATCAGTCACCGAACTAAACACAAAAAAAAGAAAAGAAAATAACTATGTAACGAAAAAGACTACGCTCGTACCCCCAACCCCCCACCCTCCCCTCCCCCCCCGTACCGCCTCCAAAATTGAGCTACCCTCGTATCCCGAAGCAAACCGTTACGCTTTTAAAAATAACAATAACAGAAAGAATGAGAATAATAACAACACACAAAAAGTGCACAGTTACGCCCGTTCTCAAGCAACGCCATAGCACGGGATGACTGTCTACTCTTAACCTCGGTGACTTAAAGATGACTTAGGGAATTTTAGGTCGCACGATGGGCCGCTGAGTTTATTGGTGCGGAAAGGGGGGGGGGGTGAGTGAGCGAGAGTTTGGGTGAGTGTGGATGTGAGTACGTGAAAGAGTGAGCGAGTGTTTGGGTGAGTGTGTGAGTGAAAGAGTGAGCGAGTGTTTGGGTGAGTGTGTGAGTGAAAGAGTGAGCGAGTGTTTGGATGAGTGTGGGTGAGTGAGTGAGTGCGTGAAAGAGTGAGAGAGTGTTTGGATGAGTGAGTGCGTGTGTGGGTGAGTGAGTTGAAGAGTGAGCGAGTGTTTGGGTGGGTGAGTGTGTGAGTGAGTGAGCGAGTGTTTGGGCGAGTGAGCGAGTGTTTGGGCGAGTGAGCGAGTGTTTGGGCGAGTGAGCGAGTGTTTGGGCGAGTGAGCGAGTGTTTGGGCGAGTGAGCGAGTGTTTGGATGCGTGTGTGAGTGTGTGAGTGAGCGAGTGTTTGCGAGTGTGTTTGGGTGAGTGAGTGTGCGAGTGTGCGTCGGTAAGTGAGTGTGCGAGTGACTGCATGAGTGAGAGAGTGAGTGAGTGAGTGAGTGAGTGAGTGAGTGAGTGAGTGAGTGAGTGAGTGAGTTAGTGAGTGTGTGAGTGAACGAGCGAGAGAGCGAGCGGGGGAGTGCAGAACGGTGCACACCAGAAAGGAAGGGGGGAAGGAAGAGGAGTATGAGTGGGAAAGAGAGGAGCAAAATAAAGGAGAAAGAAGAGAGGGAAAATGAACGAAGGTGGGAGAGAAAAGGCAAAAAATAAAGAGGTTACACATGACACGAAAACACACCGCTCGAACAGACAAAACCCTAACAGAAAGGCAAGAGCAGGGAGAGAGAGAACAGCAAATATAAAACACATAGATAAAATCCAAGGAAACCTTAACAGTGAGAGCTCAGAGACAAGACAATCTCATCTCGGGAAGACAACATGAGAACGGGGAATCACTTCTTTAAGGTCAAGCTCAAGCACAGAAAAAAAGGACAAAGGAAGAGGAGAAAGAGAGAAAAGAGAAAGAAAGAACAAAAAAAAAAAAGAAGAGAGATCAATATGCCGCACATGTGGCCGAAGAAAGAATATGAAGACAAGAAAAGAGAAGAAGAGAGAACAGGCCACAGTCGAAAGCGTACGCCCAAGTATGACAAGAATCTCGGGCCTTAGAGAGGAGGGCGGGCGTGCGGGCGTGCTTCTCTGCCTCGGTTCGCAGCCTGGGTGGGGGTTAGCACGCAAGCCCATTATATCTGATAATGACAGACAGATTGAGATAGGTAGGTAGATATATATAGACAAAGAGAGAGACACAAAAGCATTGACTGATAAATGCACAGACGAAAACATTAGACCCAAAAGCATCAACAATTAATAAGTGTATACTCAATCATCAAGTTTGTTTGTACTTTTAACTACTGGTCTGAATCTTTCGTCTCATTTTTTTTTGTCTTATTTTCTTTCTTCTTTTCCATTTTCAAAGATCCACCTTCAACATCTTGCTCGGAAAGGATAATCATAACAACGTTAAATTTTTCACAAATGTATTATCAACACATACTGTTCCAACTTGGGAGTGTATACCTTTACAGATCCACATGAAGAGACATACACACATACATACGTCCAGACAGACAGGCTTTATAAACACCATTCTTCTGTATGACAAGGTAACAAAAAACAAAAAACAAAACAAACAAAAAAAAATCGAGATGATCACGTCGATGATGGAAGACAAAACAAAATATAATGAATCATCTACAACACGAAAAACAAACACTTCTTTCCTCAACATAGTTACAGTCCAGCACATCCCCTCATAATGTTGCCTCTCCAATGCACAAAATGAACGCTCATCGAGTCAGTAGCTCATTACACGTCCTCCTGTGCGCGCGCGGGGGTCTCACCATGCGAGTGTGAATGCACATAAATGAATTACTGTGTGTGTGTGTGTGTGTGTGTGTGTGTGTGTGTGTGTGTGTGTGTGTGTGTGTGTGTGTGTGTGTGTGTGTGTGTGTGTGTGTGTGTGTGTGTGAGAGTGTGAGTGTGAGTGTGTGAGTGTATGTGGGATTTACCTCTGGCCGCGTCGCTCCCCCCCCCCCCCCCCCACATGTCCATCACAAACACACCGCAACAGTAGGGAAAAACAACACACGATTATCTACAAACTCTTACAAAACCCCCATTCCCCAAACATTCTACAAGAGGACCAAACAAGCCAAACAAACAAACAAGTCAACAAGGCGAGTCCTTCTCCCTCTCGCAGCTAGTGCAAGACCTGCAAGGAAACTTTGGCCGCGCACTTCTCCCTCGCCCAAAACCTTTTCGAATAATCGGCCTCAATGGAGGGGGTCGTCGAGACTGAATGGGGATAGTTGACACGGCGGTTTATATATATATATATATATATATATATATATATATATAATATATATATATATATATATATATATATATATATATATAAGTATACAATTATCAATCTCTGTATCACGCCTTTGTAAAAAGAATATAATAAAAGCAAGCAAGAAAGAAAACGTGACCATTGATGAGGGGATGTGAAAATTGAAAATTTACAATACACGGGAATGAAAAAAATAATAAAAATCAAGATTAAGATTCATATTTAAAATAAGGGGTAAAATAACCATATCTTGAAGCGTCTTGGACGGTGGCGTCATTGCGAAATAACAAGTGTAGAAGATGGGGATTTTCTTTTGTCTTCATCCTTAACGAGTGCAATTTGGCGGCTGGTGATAGTTTTGACCTCTTTGGGGGAAAGAAGAGCCAGAGCATCGGCTGATCGATCAATTTCCCCATCAATTAGATCAATCAATTTATCGACTTCCCTCCTGTACCCTTACCCCCCCCCCCTCTCTCTCTCTCTCTCTCTCTCTCTCTCTCTCTCTCTCTCTCTCTCTCTCTCTCTCTCTCTCTCTCTCTCTCTCTCTCTCTCTCTCTCTCTCTCTCTCTCTCTCTCTCTCAAAAACTTACAATGAGTTGATTTCTTTTATTTTGACATTCCTGCGTACTTCACCCCCCAAGTAAGAGTAACAAAATATACATAAAGCCTCAGTCACAACAGAAAAAAATGTATTCAGTCAACTATTCCATTCAATAATGCTCTAAGATATATATAGAAAAATACTATGGTGACATAACTTAGCAAAAAACAGGGTAAATCATCAATCATATCTTTTTTTTTTTACAAACAAAGTTTTTTTTTAAACACAGGTTGTATGTAATTATATTTAGATACATAAAGCAATGGTTTGATTAACCTTCAGTACAAGACACATCAGCTGGCCTCAAAAATGTCTCAAAAGTTCTACAATACAATACAAACTCTAAAAATGATGATGAGGACAATAATAATAATGATTACCATAATAATAATAACAATGATAATGATGATTATGATGGTGGTGGTGGTGGTAATAATAATAATAATAATAACGATGATAATAATAATAATAATAATAATAATCATGGTAATAATAATAATGATGATAATGACGGCTAAAAATATTGCAAATGACTGCTACTACACTAAACAGTATTCAATTCAACATTCTGCAACTTCTCTAAATCTAAAGTCTTACACAATACCCGGAAGGTAAGGCAATCATTCTCATTAAGTCATCCGATAATTATAAAAAAATGCTATCAAACTGAACTGGCCGCAACTTGTGTATCTTACGGAAACGCAAAAATATTTAAAAATCAGAGTACAATTAATAGAACAACACTACGAGGACGACCGTTATGCATTCGCAAAGGGAGAAGAGGGAGAGGGCAGGAGGAGAGAGACGAGGAGGAGGAGAAGGAGAGGGAGATGGATAGCGAGAGGGAGAGGGAGAGGGGAGAGAGAGAGAGGAGAGAGAGAGGGAGAGAGAGAGGGATAGCGAGAGGGAGGAGGAGGAGGGGAGGGGGAGAAAAGAGGAGTAGGAGTAGGAGAGTCACAGTTAGAGTTAGAGTTAGAGTTAGAGTTAGAGTTAGAGGGAGAGGGAGAGGGAGAGGAAGAGAGAGAGGAAGCAACGCAAGCCAACAGCGATCGCTTGACCCGCGGCACCCCCCCCCCGCCCTTGGCTTCCCCGCGAATGCAAATCGGTGCTTTTGCATTTGCACGACACTTTTCTTGTAACATGACCTGAGAACTCTACTACGCCAGAGGCACTTAGCGATCGGCTACTGAGGGAGGCGGATGTTGTGGTAGCCGCTAGCTCGTGTGGTGGCAGTCATTTTCGATATCTTTACACCCCGTCGAAATATAAATGTTAGATTTATATACGTATAAAACAATTATACACAAAAAAAGCAAAGACTACTTTGAACTGTTTGCAAACTGTAGCCGGTTTCTAGCATTTCAAATATATACCGTATTTTCTCTCTCTCTCTCTCTCTCTCTCTCTCTCTCTCTCTCTCTCTCTCTCTCTCTCTCTCTCTCTCTCTCTCTCTCTCTCTCTCTCTCTCTCTCTCTCTCTCTCTCTCAACTTAACTTAACAAGGAAGACAGACCATTAAACTAAAATAAATACCCCAATCCTCCCACCCCAACCCACAACAGTTCGAACTCAACACCCACATATGTCGAGAGTAAAGCTTAAACTTATAAATACAAATATCACTTTGTAGTGCTGTATCTAAAGATATAAAATCAATAAAGTGGCGCGCGCACCCGCTCACTCACTCACACACTCACACAAACGCACGCACGCACACCTACACACGCACGAGAACGCACGCACGAACGCACACCCTTCCAGCAGCTCGGGCGAACGGCCTGGATGACTGGTTATTGGGTGGCGGGCGAGAGGGGGAGGGGTAGGGGGAAGGGAGGGGGCGGGCGGCGTCGGGAGAGTGGGGGGAGGGAGGGGCGTGTGTCGGAAGGGCGACAAGGGAAGGGGGTGGGAAGGCGTATCTGGAAAGGGGGGAGGGGGTGTTGGAGTGAGGGAGAAGGGGTGGGGGCGTACAGCTGACCGCGTTACACCCGCTGGGAAAGCCGCAAACTAGCGACCTACCTCTCTCGACGCCTGAACAGTTCTTCTGTCGGGGAAGGGGGGGGCGATAGGGGACAAAAAGAAGGCTTTCTTTTCCTTAATTTACTTATGAATCCAAGGGGGTTCCCTCGCTCCCGAGACGACTCCCACGAAATGAAACGGAACACAAAACACTTCCTTGTATCTTTACATTTAAAATAAAATACAACTCGACAACAAAAAATCTATTCCTGGGCTTATAGATCCCGATTCCTCAAAAGCAAACCAGAAACCGCTAAACGAAAAATCGAACGTCAAACATTATCTGGACATTTCCCTCCCGTCCCGAAGCTATACCGGTAGCCGGGAAAAATGACACTGCTCGTCCCCGGTTTATACGCAGCTGGCGGTAACGGCGCGGCGGAGGCGGAGGCGGAGGCGGTGGCGCGGCGGCTGCACCCACGCGTGACAACCAATGGCACGCTCGTCTCAAAAGGCCAACGATGCATATCTTACATTCATCTTAAAACAGTCACGATACAGCTGCGAATGAGGCAGCAGCGGCAGCAGACTCAGCCACCCACGCCCCCGTCATGCCAGGCGACCCGCGCTGCACAGAACTGCTCTACCGTCCACGCCCGTTTGGGAGAACAGTAACCCTGCATGGCGATTACTGCTCCTGATATCTACCTCCGGAATGCCTCATACGCTAGCTGTGGTGTCAGATTATGAAGACCCGCTCCATGCCATCGCCTCCCCGTGCGCACGATCCTCCACGGAGCGAGTGGAATAATCAAGAAAAAAACGAACTAGTTCCTATTAACTAGTTGTAATCGAAGGAGCCGAGGCGAAAATAGCGAACCCAGTCGTGCGTGCGTGCGTGCGTTCGTGCGCGGTAGTACGGTCCCTTCATACTCGTGTAGTGGATCTCTTTTCTCGTTTCGAGATTCTCACAGACACTCCGCCAGACAGAAAGACACGGAAAATATCTTCCTTTAAAAAACCCTGTACACGAGAAGAAAATAATCAAAAGGCAGAAAAAAATCCCAATGGTTTCCTAATAAACACGTTCCCCTAAAAGTTTCTTTTTTTTTTTTTAAGGAAAGACCTCAAACCTCTCCATCGTTTACTAATATATACTCTAAGATTATCACAAATAAAACCCACACCCACAAACAGACACACGCCGGCTCTCACATCAAAAGATTGAACTTGGTGCCACATCCTCGTGTGCACTCAGGAGGGAAACATTAGTATACTATGTGAATGTGACGTCCCCTTCCACCTGACATCGCCTCCGGTCTGTGAGCGAGCCCGCACTCAGGGATGCCATCGGGAGTCACTCCTCCCTCCTCCCTCTTCTGAAACAGCAAGCGCCCTGTTCCTGAGTCTTCCTTATTAGGATGATTCTCTCTCTCTCTCTCTCTCTCTTTCGCTCTCTCTTTCTCTCTCTCTCCTCTTCCACGGGTTCCTTCCGGCCACTGACAGTTGTCGCTTGCAAGTTCTAACTCCCTCCTTCCGCTTCATGTCACCGAAACTACAATGACATCACCACTAACCATTCATTCACGTACAGGATACACAGAACTGCCTAAAGCCTTATCCCCAATCACTGTTACGTTCCCCCACTGTCTACGTTTTGTTGTGTTCTCTAATTCAGGCATTCGTCTCTACCATGTTCAGGACTTGTTTCACGCGGCGAGCGAGAGAGAGAGAATGCCCGTCCTGCCCCTCCACCCGGTCGCCTGGTCCGACTCGCGGCCGAACTATAATGCCTATGTTTCTGAACAATACAGGATCACTCGCGCTTCCCACACTCTGCTCCTTGCCGGCACCATTTCGCTCGGCAATAACCTGGACAGATTAATCACACTACCCTGAGAGGGGGCGCCGTGGAGGCACTAGAGCACAACGTCTCTCGCCGACTCCCCAAGCTTCCCCTCCCCCTTCCTCTCTCTCTGTCTCTTACTCGCGCTAGGCGTGTGGCTCAACCGAACACACTGGCGAGGGAGAGTCTGTGGGGCTGAGAGAGGTCGGCCTGGCGGCGGCGGCGGCGTCGGCACGCTGTGGGTGCGTGGGGGGTTCAGGACAGGTTACTGTGGCGACGCTGCAAGTGCGTCTTCACGTGGCTCTTCTGGCTGGCCGAGTAGTTACAGTGGGGACACTTGAAGGGCTTCTCCCCGGTGTGTGTGCGGATGTGCTTCTCCAGCGAGGAAGGGTAGAAGAAAATCTTTCCGCAAAACTTGCACACGTACTGGGCACCGTGGGAGCCGGGGGGGAGGCCCAAGAGGGCAAACTCAGCGTCGGAGGGATTTCTGGTGTCCAGGGCGTCCTCCTCCCCCTCCTCCTCGGACTGCAGCCCTCGGCTAGCCAAGGCCACCTGCACAAGGCCCAGCCTGCTCACCACGCCCATGCCCACACCCACGCCCTAGAAGAGAGAAATACTGCCGTCAGGACACCTTCCACACCGCCCACACACACGCTGCAGCTTGGCTAGCCCAACCTCATTCAACCTCAACTGGCCTTTACTTCATCATCGAAATGCAAGATAAAAAAAATTATTGAGAATATTCACAACAAACCATCAAATCTATTATTCAAGACATATCTGTGAAGCAACACTGAATAACATGGTGTGTATATATATATGAATATATACTCTTGAATTACCCTACAGAAAGAGATTACAGCCAAACTTAAAACAAAATATCAATCAATCAATCAATAAACAAAAAAAAATCGTAAATAAAAAAATAAACTGAACTATTCCAAAAGAGAGAGAGAGAGAGAGGACCTACCTCCTTAGCCAAGGGAAAGCCATCGCCACCTTATAACTTTTTCATTATTTTTTTTTCTTAAGAACTACACACAAAGCGTTCTTTTGGCCTTCTTCGCTCATGCAAATCTATGACATTACCCTCAGCCCCGTTGCCTCTCGCCTTGCATGCTTGAAGGAAGTAGTCCTTGCCGCCCGGAAGGTATGGTGCGCTCGCCCACGGCACCGTTCCACTGTATGAAAGCGCGTGTGTTTGAGTGTGTGTGCAAGTGTGAGAGTGAGTGTGTAAGTGTGAGAGTGAGTGTGTAAGTGTGAGAGTGAGTGTGTGTAAGTGTAAGAGTGAGTGAGTGTGTGTGTGAAGTGTAAGTGTAAGAGTGAGTGAGTGTGTGTGTAAGTGTGAGTGTGAGTGTGAGGTGTGGTGTGTGTGTGTGTTGTGTGAGTGTGTGTAGTGTGTGTGTGTGTGTGTGTGTGTGTGTGTGTGTGTGTGTGTGTTGTGTGTGTGTGTGTGTGTGTGTGTGTGTGTGTGTGTGTGTGTGTGTGTGTGTGTGTGTGTGTGTGTGTGTGTGTGTGTGTGTGTGGTGTGTGTGTGTAGTGAATGAGAATGAGTGTGAGTGTGTGTGTCGTGTGTGTTGTGTGTGTAATGTGTGTGTGTGTGTGTGTATGATGTGTGTGTGTGTGTGTGTGTGTGTGTGTGTGTGTGTGTGTGTGTGTGTGTGTGTGTGTGTGTGTGTGTGTGTTGTGGTTGTGTGTGTGATGAATGAGAGTGAGTGAGTGAGTGAGTGAGTGAGTGAGTGAGTGAGTGATGTGAGTGAGTGTGAGTGTGTGTGATGAGTGTGTGTGTGTGTGTGTGTGTGTGTGTGTGTTGTGTGTGCGAGGGTGAGTGTGACCGGAAGTGTGAATGAGTGTGACTGTGGGTGTGTACATGGGCGAAGTGTGTTTTAATCTGAGTGTGTTTATGTTTGTGATTTAGTTGATGAATGACGTGAATGAAGAACAGGAGAACCATGAGCAATGGGGAAGGAGGTGAAAGAAGGGGGAAGGGGAAGGGGAGAGGGAAAAAGGGGGAGGGAAAAGGGGAGGAAAGGGGAGGGGAAGAAGGAAGGGAAGAGGGGAAAAGGGAAGGGCAGAGGAAGGTGATAAAAGGAGGAGGAGGATGGAGGAAAATGAGGTGGATAAACAGCGAAGAGAAGAACGAAGAAGTGGATGAGAGAAGAAAGGAGGAGGAGGAGGAGGGGCAGGAGTAAGTGGATGAAAGAAGAAAAGGAAGTAGATGAGAAAGACGGAAAATGTGTGTTCGCGTGAATGAATTCCACATCTCGTAGACCCCAACGAAATGTATATATATAAAAAAAAAAAAAATGCACAAGAATACTGCACACGAACCACGGCCGCCGAACCGAACACCGCGCCATCGTTTCGTGAATCAGCTGAGATGGTCCGATCAGTCACCCTCCTCGCAAAAAATTCCCATTCGACGGACCCACCCATTAATTGAAGAATAAGGAAGTCAGTGCCTTATCATATCATATACAAATAATACATGAAGATAATACATTATTCATTAATAATAAAAGTAATAACACAACAACAGTAATAACAAAGGCAATGATAACGATAATGATGATGATGATAATAACTGATAATAACGATAATGTTCATAATAATGACAAAAAATAATGCCAAACACAATAATAATAAACAAGTGCTTACGAAACGGACGCAACCAGTGTGTTTCGTAACTAATATTAGGAAAAGTATTAATTTGAGTATCTTTCCACCACTTGGATATTTTTTTTCTATTCTGTTACCAGGAAAAAGCTTCTAGTTTTTTAGTTTCTTTCCTTCTTTTGCCAATGTCTATATTCAGTTATTTCCGCAAGGTCTGCGTTCTTGTAGATACATAAATCCATTTGCACAAAATACAATATAAGCTTTATGAATATGAATGGGAAAATCCTGTAAGTATTAGTAATACGATAGAAAATAAAACATTATACACAAATTAGATTTACTGTGTATACTGAGTCTCTACCCACGAATATGAAAAAAGGATGTGAGACATACATACATAGCCATACAGGCATGTGTATAAGTATATATGTACATATATATGTGAAAGGGAGAGAGGAAGTGGGAGAGGGAGAGGGAGAGGGAGAGGAGAGAGGAGATAGGAGAGGGAGATAGGGAGAGAGATAGGGAGATAGGGAGAGGGAGAGGGAGAGGGAGGGAGAGGGAGATAGGGAGAGGGAGATAGGGAGAGGGAGAGGGAGAGGGAGAGGGAGAGGGAGAGGGAGAGGGAGAGGGAGAGGGAGAGGAGAGGGAGAGGGAGAGGAAGGGAGAGAGAGAGAGAGGAGAGAGAGAGAGAGAGAGAGAGAGAGAGAGAGAGAGAGAGAGAGAGAGAGAGAGAGAGAAGAGAGAGAGAGAGAGAGAAGAGAGAGAGAGAGAGAGAGAGAGAGGAATAGTGTCTCAACTCCAACCTAATCGTGTCCATGCTAATATCTCATGAATCAAATGTTTTAAGTGCTTATTTGTATCTCTTTCCACATTACCATTTTTCGTTTTTTTTTATGTTTCCCTTTTGCTCATTTCCTCTTTATTCAGTTTTGTTTCATAAATCATTGTTTCACCGGTGAAGTGTTTCAATATCGTAATCACAATGGATTTAAATGGTGATTATTTGTCTTCAATAGAACAAAATAAAGTGTAGAAGTGTCGAAGGGAAAATATAAGCCACATATCATACAAATTTTATTTACATGTAATAATAATAATAATGAGGAGCAGTATTAGCTTATTACACAGCTGCTTCATCCGATAATGAGGTATGTAATATGGCGGCGCAGTACCCAGTGTACCGCCATAACTTCTACGTGTGTGACACTGTTCACTCATCTCTCATCACAGTAATAGTCTAAACCACAACTACTGTGGCGTCTTTTAAATTCCTTTATGTATATATATAACTCTGTTTTTATATAGATTCTCTATGTTATTACTGATTCTGCGCCCCGCCGCCCGCGTTGGTCACCAGGTGCACCCGCGCCAGGTGGTTTTTGAGGTGCCACGTTTGCGAGCCCCGCCACGGACACAGGTGGCACGCGTACGGCTTCTCCCCCGTGTGCGAGCGCATGTGGCGGGTCAGTTCCGCCGGCCGCATGAACGTTCTTCCGCACAGGCAGCAGGTGCGGTCCCAGCGCAGGCCGGCCAGCATGCCAATCCCTCCGGTCCAAGCAGTGGCCATGCCTCCGCTTGGGCCTCCGCTTGGGCCACCCAGCTGGGAAAACACCTACGGGAGGGAGACAGGAGAGGTGAGGTGTAACGCAGGCTAGATAATGGGTTACCACGACGGCCCGCCCGATGGGGGGAAGTCTGGCCCGGAGGTGGGGGCTGCGGAGGAGGAGGAGGAGGTTGTGGCAGAGGTAGTGGTGGCGGGAACCAGCTGTGGGTGGCGCCGCGACACGTGGCATCGCAGGCACCACACATAGAGCACGTGTATGGCTTCTCCCCGGTGTGGATCCGCTGGTGGCGACGGAGCTCAGCGGGCCTCCTGAAGCCCTTCCCACAAATGTGACAGATGCGGTCCCATCGTAACAGTGGCTCACTCCTGACTACAGGTCCTGCCCACACCTCACTCCCTAGGCCCCCATGTACCTAGAACGAGACAAGCACCGCGTCATAACTCCTTCAACCATGCGGGACGAGGGCGCCAGCCAGCGACACCTCTCCTAAACTTAACAGATTTGTTTGCTTTGAGTGTGGGCAGTGAGTCACTGGGTGGCAAGGGGGGCCTGGTTTGGTACAAAGTGTCGGCGTAACAGGTGGGCCTTGAGGTGCACGGCCTGTGTGCCGCGGTAGCCGCACAGCGGGCACTGGTACGGCCTCTCCCCCGTGTGGGTGCGGAGGTGGCGGGTGAGCTCAGCAGGACGTGCAAACACTCTCTTACACACAGGACAAGTGCGATCCCACCTGATGGCTGGCAGGGCGACATTGCCCTGGAAGGAGCGCACCCACCGCCCACCACCGCCCTCACACACCTACAGGGAGAGAACAGAGAACATGGGTGAGAAGGGAGTTTCTTCACCCACTCTAGAACACTCTTATTCTTAACATGTATTACTTTCTCTCATTTTAATCTCAAAGATCCTCTCTCTGTTAAGACTATGACAAGTTCAGCAATGCAGTGTCCCCCACACACGCGTTCCGCCGCTCAGTCAAAGTTCTGCAGCGCCGACGGGTTGTGGTGCGGGTGGCGGCGCGCAACGTGCGACTTGACGTGCGTGGCCTGCACGGCGCGGTAGGGGCACACGGGGCAGGCATACGGCCTCTCCCCCGTGTGGATCCTGAGGTGCCGCTGCAGTTCAGAACTCTTGGGGAATACTTTGCCACACACAGCACACATCAGGTGTCCGCTGAGCCTGGAGGCTGGAGGGTTGGCTGGAACTAGGCCGTGTGACCAAACACCGCCTCCAGGACCCACCTAGAACAGAGAGAAGGAACATCACCACCACGCTGCTGCTGCCGTTGCTCCTGCTACCAGCCTCGTGTCCCTACTGTGCAAAGTCAGTGGCCCCCCAAGGCTAATCTGCGACTAGTTTCCTCCACCCAACCTGGCACTTATAACCTAGGCTGCGCGGCGAGGTGAGCCTCGGGGTCCTGGACGAGCTCTTTGTGTCTTCTCTGCAGGTGGCTCTTTACGTGGTGCTTCTGCGTGGCCCGATAGTCGCAGTGCGGACAGCAAAAAGGCCTCTCTCCCGTGTGCGCCCTCAGGTGGATGGCCAGCTGCGAAGGCGTGTCGCACAGCTTGCCGCAGAACTTGCAGCTGTGGGGCACGTGGTGGGCTGGAGGCTCTGTGGAGAAGGGCGAGAGGTCGGGAGCCTCGCCAGGTGCTGCTGCTCCTGCGTGGGTCATGTACAGGCGGGACATGGCTTGCGCCATCAGCCCCAGGGCCACGCCGCTTCGGTAGCCGCCCACGCCCTACAAGAGACAAAACAGGCCAGAGTCAAGCACAGCCTCTCTCTCAGCATAGTCTGCTGTGTGCACACCTAACCCACTAACAAGCAGCCACAAGCAGGCACACACTGCAGCCTCCACCACCACAGGAGAGGCAGAGACAAACAGCAAGAGCAGGAACAAGATAGACACGAGAGCATGGACGCGTTCGCCCCTCGCGCTAAGGCGTCTCCTTGGGAGCGCCGAGGCTACTCGGGGCGAAGTTCGACTCCACCACAATACCGTGAACGAGATGCATGTGCCTGCGCATGTTGCCCTTCTGCGCCGCGCTATACGAGCACACGGTGCAACGGTACGGTTTCTCTCCCGTGTGAATCCTAATATGAGTCGCGAGCTGCGAGGGGCGACAAAAGGAATAGCCACAATACTGACACACGTGAGGACGCAAGCTACTGTTGTCAAGGCCCCCCTCCGGGCGTGGTGGGGGGGCGGGCACCAGAGCCCCCGGGAGCGGCGCCGCCCACATGCTCCCACCACCGCCCACTCCGTCTCGTGGTCTGGGGTCGCCGCTACTGTCTACACCGGCGTATTTCGCCCACGAGCTGCTCGGTACCCGCGAGTCCTCCTGCAAGGGGTAAATCCGAGTCAGCTTCCCGACACTGAACCCCAGCTCGCTCACACATTAACTACTTTACTTCTGGCTAACCCCAACACAGTCTGTCATGTTACCTCACCACCCATCATCACCTCTACAACACACGGTCATCACAGCGGAGGGCCTGGCGTCGCGCGGGGTTGGGACGCGGAGGGGAGGGGAAGGGGAAGGGGAGGGGAAGGGGAAGGGGGGGAAGGGAAGGGAGGGGAAGGGAAGGGGAAGGGGAAGGGAAGGGAGGGGGGGATGGCGGACGGGCGGGCGGGGCGGGAGAGGTCGCTTAGGCCTAAAACTCGATGCTGGCAGCGAAGACCTCGCCGTGGGTGCTGGCGTGGCGTTTCAGGTTGCCTTTCCTGGTGGACCTGTAGTCACACTGCGGGTACGGGCACGTGAAGGGCTTCTCCCCCGTGTGGGTCCTCATGTGCAGCACCATGGCCGACGGGTACATGAAGTCCTTCAGACATAAGGGACACACGGAGTTGCCCGAGCTCCGCTTTGTCCACGTAACGGACCTAGCCCTGACGGGGTGGGGGGCGTTTGGCCCTCCGGAGTTTGTGCCCAGGATACTGTACATGCTCGAGCCCTCCTGAGGGGGGCCAGGGAGGCGGCTATACCCTCCAGGGACACCGCCCACGCGACTTACAGGGAGAGCGGACGTCCTTCCCGGCCAGCCGCCACCCTGTAAGAGGCAAACATGCAAGACTCAGCAGGCTGGGAAGGTAGTTTATCTCTCACTGCCACACACAATTAACATCATCTTCTCTCCCCTCCCCCCTCCTCTCTCTCCTTCCCCCCCTCTCCCTTCCTTCCTCCCCCAGCAGCTTCTTCACACCGCTCCGAGCCACAGCTTTGGTCCGTGACGGAAGTTAAGACTACTCGCTGTGGGTCAGTCAAGCCTTGCCCTCTGGGGATCCCTCAACAATGCTCCGGACTATTCCTTAGGAATCCACCGGGAATGTCTCGGGAACACTAAAGCCCCTTGCGCCCACGCTACTTCATTTGCGATTATTATCGTTAACTTTATATTTTTTCGCACGGGTATGAAAAAAATCAAATAACAAATATACACTATATTATGGTTACACCAAAATATCAGAATGATCTGAGAGTAAAGCATAAATGACTAAGAATTCCGTTATTAAACGCCTTCGCGTCTGTTAATTAAAAAAACACAGATACAGGCCTATCGCTGCACATCATCACCAACGCAGCAGTCACTCCTAGCTAGCTTAATAAATCTCACTTGCCCCCCATTCCCTTTCACACTGCATCCAGAGCACACCCTTCGGCGGGCGATGCTCAAGTATACATTATTCTTGTAACAAAACGAAAGCAATCACTCAACAAAGTTATCACGAGTTTTGCATTCACACTGGGAGCCTCGCTTTCGCGCACAGCCTAGCCTGGCGCCGGCCGCGGGCGTGATGTGGGCGCGAGTGTCTGACGGCGAGAGCCCGTGGCCGCGCTGCCCGGCGGACTTATCCCGGGAAGGTGTGGTGCGAGTGGGAGATGCGGATGTGGCGCTTCACGTTGCCCCGCATGACGGAGTTGTAGTGGCAGCTCGGGTAGGGGCAGGTGAAGGGCCGCTCCTCCACGTGGTTGAGCGAGTGCATGGCCAGCATGACGGGCAGGGGGAAGGTGTCGCTACACTGGGGGCACACGTGCTGCTGGCTGGCCTTTCTCTCCCCGGGCAGCTCCGAGGGGTAGGTAGAGGAGGAGGAGGAGGAGGTGGGGGAGCGGGAGGGCCCGGGGGTGGAGCGGGTCTTCTCTGCCTGGAGGCGGAGGCGGGGCGGCGGGCGGCTCGACCCACGCCACGCTGAGGGCGGGGCTGGCGGCGCTGCCCAAGAGGGGGTTGAGCTTTAGCAGGGCGGGGGGGCTGAGGTGGGCCGCCTGCAGCCTGCCCAGGGCGTCACTTATCCAGTGTTTGAAGTTGGCCACGGTGTGCTGGTGGCGCGCGACAACCTCCTGCAAGTAGGGAAATGCAGGTTGATCCACGTGCTGAGCTACTGGTGATGGCTGGCTGCACCTGTGCCCCCTCATCCCATGTGCCGCATGCTGCCCACGCTGCTCTACCCACCAGGCGTGCGTGCGTGCGTGCGTGACTTAACAGCCAGCCACACTACCCACATGTACCTCACATACAGGATACATGCTGCTAACACATCTGCTTCTGGCTTCACTCCACCCTTTTGGTCTTCAGGAACGCTACATTTTTTTCCAAAGCCATGTCTCCCACATCTAATTTTTATGGCAATTTATTCATTTGTTCATTTACTCCTTTAATGTGTGTAATTAAGTGCTTTCTCCAGTACTTTGTCATGGTGTTCGAAGGTCACTGTCAGTCCGAGCAGAGACTGAAAGACAGTCAAGCATTTGTTACCAATGACAGGTGTTAAAAACCAAATAATAAAAAATTAAAATGATATAAAGATCTCAACCAATCCGGTGTTCAAACGTAGTTTGGATATTCATTTTGGGTGATTATAAAAACATTTTTTTATTGACAAAATATTTATTCAGAATTCTATCTGCAGCGCGACACTCGGAAATAAAAGTTCAGAAAACATATACATTGTAATTAAGACATTTCATAAACCATATTTTTTTCTTTATTTGGTCTCTTTGCAAACAGTATGACCACAAAAAGAGAGGCCTGTGTCGCGGCATTGTATAAAAGGAACAATTACTCCTTCAAAAAGAAAGAAAAAAACAACTTCAGGCCTTTCGTTTTCACAAAGGTCACCTATCATACATTCTTCACATTAAACGTATATACATTATGAGTATGAATAAATGAATTGTGACAGTACGAGCTAATGGGTGACTGGAAAGGGTGAAACGCACTCACACTCTCTCTCTCCTCTCATCCGCGTGCATTTACACACCATAGCACCATGCGAGGCGTCGCTCCGGGCCCCGCCACCGCCACCATCGCCGCGCCCCCCCCTCTGGCCCTCCCCCTTCCCCTCCCTCTCCTGCAATCAATGGCAGGAGCCGAGGTCCCTCCCTGCCTCAGGTCTGCGGCCGCGAGACGCCCAGCGAGTCCTGGTGCCTCAGCATGTGCGACTTGAGGTTCCACTTGAGGGAGGTCCGAAAGGGGCACAGGGGGCACGCGAACGGCTTCTCGCCCGTGTGCGTGCGCATGTGCTCGTTCAGCTTGGAGGGGAACGGGAACTCCCGCTTGCACAGGTGGCACCAATAGCACCGCTTACTAGGCCCAGACGCAGGCGGGGGAGGCGGCGGGCCCCGACGCTCGCGGGAGGGGGTGGTGGCCCCGGACTGCCGGTAGGCCACGGGTGGGGGATGGAAAGGGGCGGCGCCGGGCGGCACCCCGACGCCCCCGGCCGCGGCCTGCATCCCCGGAGGGAGAGCCCGCATGAGGATCTCCTCAAGACTGCCTCCATCACCACCTTCAGAGCCGCCACCACCCGTGACATCAACACCGCAGCCCACCGCCTAGAAAACGAGAAACCGCCCCGTCACTGCTGGCTCCTCACACCGCCCCCCAAGGCGCCACACACGCCCCCGAGCCCTGCTCCCTGGGCCCTTCAAGGCGCAGCCCGGGGGCCACGGATGAAGGGGTGGGAGGGGGAGGGAGGGGGAAGGGGGAGAGGCTATGCAAGATTACTATTTTTTCAAGAAGTTTTAGATTTATTGAATGTTCTCCTTCATTGGGCCAGTGTAAGACCTGGCGCAATGCACTAATGTCATGTTCATGCACTCATTCACAAGCAAACACGCAGCAAAGGGGGATAATATATCAAAACAGGTAGATAAAAATATTATGTATATTAATCAAGAGTACAACTCATAGTAAGGAATACTATCAACCAATGCTACACATCTGAAGGATTCATGATATGAAAATTATTGTGTGAAGCTCTATAATCAATCCTAAACAGCTCTTCATACAAAACGTAAAGATATCTTTGGCATCATTTCAACCTAAACATTAACTCTGACTAAGAAAAAAATAGGAACAATTGAAGCTTTCTTGTCATCATCCCCCCACCCCCAGCCCACGAGACGCATTGCACCTCCCCGTTGATTAATCATTTCTTGCGTAAAAGACCTATGAATGCATATAACTTCCCGGGCATTTTCTCTACTGCCAATCACCGGCCCATAATAACAACGGTTCTCGTGTAAAGGAAATTATAAAATAATAATAATATTAATAATGAAAATAACAGCACAATGACAGGATCATACAAAGGATAAAAAACAAAAACTATATGAATGCCGAGCAAGAGACAAATGCGGGCGGCGACACCCCCCGCCGCGGAGCCACCCCGTGCCTGCCCTGATCAAGGCCAGCAGCGCCCCCGCCCGCTCATCACACGGTCGGGGCGTTGTGTCTGTTGATGATGTGGCTGTTGAGGTTGCCCTTCTGCGTGGCCCGGAAGTCGCAGTGGGGGCACTTGAAGGGCTTCTCCCCCGTGTGCGCTCGGATGTGGCGCCGCAGGAAAGCCGGCGCCACGAAGTTCTTGCCGCAGTACCCGCACACGTAATCGCCGCCCCCCTTGCGCTGGATCAGGTCGTGCCCAACAGTGGGAGGGTGGACGCTTCCCTGCGGCTGCAGCAGCGCCTGCGGAGGCTGCGAAGGCGGCGGCGGCGGCTGGGGTGGTCTGGGGCCACACATCCCGCCCAGGGCCAGCCTGAGGGACGGGCCCGAGGAGCTGGAGGCGGTGGTAGTGGAGGAGGAAGACAAGGGAAGGGGCATCTGTGTTGGCAGGGACATTGCCGCTGAGGAGGCCTGGGACCTACTCCCCTCATCCCCTATGGGCCAAGAACAGTCCAGCCATTCCACGCCGCCCTAGAACAAGAGAAAGGCCACATGAGCACTGCAGGGCTGGCAGTCGTGCCTCCGATGTGTCTCGCCCTCGGGCCACCGAATCTTAAGGTACACCATCGACCTGCCACTCTTCCACGACGCCTTCGAGGCGGTCACCTGTTTCCCTTAACAGCAAAATACACCAAACACTAAAGTCTTAGATCACCTGGTCCCCGACGAGCGCACAGCCCTCGACAGAAAGCCTCCGGGCGACAAGTGCCGGGAACAGAAGCGGACAAGCGGCGGGGGCGCCTTCACCTTCATCTGTGCGGCATCGGTGCCATCAGCACGCCAGGGTCACAACCTGGGTGTTTGAGGAGGATGTGAGCCTTGAGGTTCTCCTTGAGGCTGGAGGAGTGCGAGCACACCGGACACCGGTAGGGCTTCTCCCCCGTGTGGGTGCGCACGTGGCGGTCGCGGTGCGAGGGCCGGTCGAAGGTCTTGCCGCAGTAAGGGCACGGGTACACGGGCCCCAGGCGCTGCTGGCCCAGCGGCTGAGGGTGCGACACGGCCAGGTGTTGGGGCTGCTGCTGGGGGTACTGCGCCTGCTGCTGGTGGAAGGGGTGAGGCGCAGTTCCCTGAGGGTGGTGGTGGCGGTGGTGGTGCTGCTGGTGCAGGTGCGGGGGCCGGAGAGGAGCGACTGGCGACAACACCTGAACCTCGCACTCGCTCTCCTCTGCCGGACCTTCCAGGAGGAGAGCAGCAGCTGCCTAGAAGAGAAACAGCATTCAGGCCGCCGTCCGTCCGTCCGCCCTCTCGCCTCACTCGCTCACCGCAGCAGGGCGCCCACGGCATCCCCGCCTCGCCCTCGGCAGCTGCCACCCCTCCCCTCCCCCCAAGCATTCCCGTCAGTCACACGTCATCCCATTCCAGCAAGAAAGTCGGTCGGTCTCGTCTAAGCTCAACGTCGATGTCCAATGAAGTCCTTTTTCAAGACGTCAAATATTTTCGGGCGTTTTTGTATTCCATTGTAATAAGACTAATCCCTCCATTTTCTTTGCAGCCAAGTTATAGGAGTCCGTTTTCTAGACTATATTCTCCAGGGCAGTGTTGCATCTTTCGATATCAATAAATAGCATGTTCATCCAACACTCGAATGTTTGCATCATGTACGTTCTGCATTTGTTTGCGGATGTGTATACGTAGGAACGTACGTGTGTGTGTGTGTGTGTGTGTGTGTGTGTGTGTGTGTGTGTGTGTGTGTGTGTGTGTGTGTGTGTGTGTGTGTGTGTGTGTGTGTGTGTGTGTGTGTGTGTGTGTGTAAGCGCGCGCGCGCGCGCGCGATAGAGAGGGACACAAAAGAGAACGAAAGAAAAAAAAGAAAAAGTGTGCGTGTTTTGTGTGTGAAAAGTTGTAACGTTTAGTTTCTTGTTTCCAGACTTTTCACAAACTGTATGGACAATGTATGTTTTTTATACTTCGAATATCCTCAATAACAAATTCATTTGGATTCATTTTACAGACATGAGTTTTCCTCTGCTTGCAGGTTGTGACATAAGAAATAATCAGTCAACATTTATAAGATTTATTGGCACATGTACAAAAATATACAGGTATTGAACAAACTCAGGACTATATTTCAGTATCACTACAAAAAAATAAATATCTTAAGAGCTAACAAATAAAAACATAATAAAGCAAAGAAAAATCAGTGCACTATTCAAGAGCTATGAGAATTTAATTTGCTCATCTTAAAGGTCAGGGCGTGGAAGCGGCGCTGGCGGCGGCGGCGGCGGCGGCATTATACTCGTACACGTCTTGGCCGTGCAAGAAACGCGCGTGCCGCCGCACGTGCGACGACTGCGTGGCACGGTACGGGCACAGCAGACACTGGTAGGGTTTCTCCCCCGTGTGCGTCCGCCGGTGCTTGGTGAGGTCGCTCTTGTGGCTGAACTTCTTGTCACAAAAGTCGCAGCTGAACCTCCCGTGGGCCACGCCGCCGACGCCGCCGCAGAGGGCCTTCTCCCCCGCGAACAACGCGGGACTCGCGCCTCCGCCACGCCTGCCTCCAGACTCCGCTTCGAGCCGCTGGCATGCACTGCTCATCCCACCATACAGCCTGCCACTCTCTCGCCCTACGAGCGGAACCCCGAATACTCCCAGCCAGCTCTACAACAGAAAGCAACACATTGGGGATGTCAATCTCGGCTCACAGAAAGTCCTGTTGCTTTTTCTCTTGCTTTTGTCTTTACAACCTTAAAACATAATGACTTAGCACCAGGCATACCCAATGGATACACTTCCCTCCCTGACTTGAGTGACCCCCACTCTACTGATCTCCCTCCCCTTTCCCTTCTTTCCCCCCTTCCCTTTGCACCGCCCTCCTTGCAATCGCCACTCCCTCCTCCTCTTCCTTCTGCCGTCGTCCACCATATCACAGGCCGCGGCACTTTCTTATCCTACATCACTGACAGTCAACTCGTCTACGAGATCTCTCACTCCTTCTCGACACGGGAGACACCGAGTCAAGAGGCCACGGGATGCGGCGACTGAAACTGGTGCTTGCGCAGAATGTGTCTCTTGAGATTGGCTCTCTGGGCAGCTCGGTAATGGCAAATGGGGCACTCGAACGGTTTCTCGCCGGTGTGCGTTCGTATGTGCTTGCGCCAATCCCCGGCGTAGAAGAAGGTTTTCGCACAAATACGACATCCATAAAGCGTTCTTCCCAGATGGTCTTGAGCCTTGTAGCGTAGCGTGTGGGTGTCCGGACGAGGGACGAGGCCACTCATGTCTACGCCTACCATGGTACCTGCCAGCACGCCCTATAAGGAAAAAAAATATCCTCTCAGTGGTCCCGATCGCTCATCCAATGTTACCACACAGCCATCAAAATCTGAGGTACTCTCTCTCAAAGCATAAGTAATTTTTATCTCTTTTTTTTTTTTGGTCTACCCATCTTGACTCAGAGAAGGCGCAGGTCCATGTCTCCTCACAATATGGCCACGCAGGTGAACCTTCTGGGTGGCGCAGTAACTACAGTACGGACACTTGTAAGGTTTTTCTCCCGTGTGTGTTCGGATATGTTTGCGCAGGTCATTGGTAAACTGAAAGACCTTCCCACAGTGATCGCACACCCGACCTCGACCCTTGCCCTGAAGGGAACTCAGGTCATACGAAGGAGACTCTTTGCTAACGTTCTCGGGCCAAGTCCCCGGCAGTCTGAAGTGATCCGACAAGGCCAGAGCCTGGCAAGAGCCTCCCGTCAGGCTCGACTGCCTCACATCAAGTGCTATCTCGTACGTGTTCCCTTCTCTGACCAGCCCTCCCCCTCCACTCGCTAACAACCCTCTAGTCATGGCGGAGGAAGAGGACGAGGGCGAGGAACAGGAGGAGGAAGAGGAGGAGCTCTGCTGGAGAATACTGCTGGGGGCGGTAACCAAGTGCGGGCTTTCTCCCAGACGTGACGTGACGCGATGGTAGTGTCGGAGGTGAGTGTGAGCAGAGGGAGGAGGAGGAAGGAGCGGAGATGAGCGGTCTGACATGAGCACCGACCCTCTGCCCTATAAAGAAAGAAACAAGTCTCAGTTGTTGCGGCTCCCCTCGTTCTGCAAGGTATGAAGGGCCACAAAACACATGAGTAACTCATTAAGGGAGGGAGGGAGGGATTCAATGGTTCGCACTCTCGCTCTCACGCTCTCTTTTCGCCCATCAATCACTTACAAGCAATTGACAATACATAGCACCAAATTACAGTTTCTCTATACAGGTAAGGTCGCACAGGTTTTAATTATATACAGGTCTATCCTGCCCAATGCTCAGCAGCTTTCTCCTTTATGCACAGCGACGACGTGTGCTTTCAGGTGCGATCGCTGATTGGCACGGTACCAACACTTGGGACAGGCATAGGGGCGCTCCCCCGTGTGGATGCGGATGTGAGTGGTAAGGTTGAACTTTTTAATGAAACTCTTCCCACAAAACGGGCAAGTGTGTCCCCTCTGATCGGCAAGACTTAGGGAGGAAAAGCTCTGGCCAGGAGCAACGGCCTCTACAGAGAGGGAGGAAGCCTGGGATAAGGTGGCTCTTTCTTGGGGATATTCTGTATCAAGCAAGGGGCCTGCGATGCTGACGGCACCACTTGAGAGTCTTTCTTTGGACGTCCATCCCTAGAAGAGAAGAGAGAGTTCGTCTTAGCCGTGCTGCCTCGCATTCGGGACCTACTGAGCTGCTCACGTGTCAGGGGGAAGGGTTCGCTGACTCAAGACTTAGTTAACTTACAATTTACCGGCTTTCTCAGTCTCAAGAACTTTTTACCTTCTTTTGTACCTTGTATTGGCTGGGTGGTTCTTTTCTCGGGCAAGACAACACACTCGATTCGGCCTTGACCTCACATCCCGCCCAACCCACGCCTGGCAATTGTACTATAAGACCGTAAATCATGGAAAGGCCTTCCCTGGCGGCTGGCTGCAGGAACCGTCTACTTTGTGGACCAGGTACAAGTGTTTCTTTAGATGCGTCGACTGATTCCCTCGATAGGGACAGAGGTGGCAAATGTAAGGCTTCTCTCCCGTGTGGATGCGCATGTGCCTCGTCAGATCGCTCTTCTGCATGAAGGTCTTGTAGCAGATAGAGCACTGCGGGGCCGCGTGCCGGAAGCCCTGGCCCAGGGGGAGTCCCGGCGCGCTCCCATCCCCCGAGGGCACCCTGGCCACGCGGGGCAGGTGGTGCGGGAGCGACGGAAGGCCCGCGCCGGGGAACAGGTCATGATGGTGAGTCCACACCGGGGATGCCGCCTACAAGAGGAAACACGCACCGTTACTGCCTGCCACGCCCACCTCTCCCCTCCTCTCCAGGGCCACCTCCCCTCTCCTCCCCTCCCCTCCCCGCCCCCGCATGGCATCTTTTGCGTCTCATCTGTTCTTAGGTTAACAAGCACAAGGTCCTTACAGTGTTCCTCTAGCAGACACTACTTCCTTTCCAAATTGTCAAATATGTTCATCAAAGAGTGTGTAAATAAATACATAAACGTGTGTGTGTGTGTGTGTGTGTGTGTGTGTGTGTGTGTGTGTGTGTGTGTGTGTGTGGTGTGTGTGTGTGTGTGTGTGTGTGTGTGAGAGAGAGAGAGAGAGAGAGAGAGAGAGAGAGAGAGAGAGAGAGAGAGAGAGAGAGAGAGAGAGAGAGAGAGAGAGAGACTGAGTGAGTGAGTGTGGGTATGAGTTTATGTGCATGTGTATGTACATGTATTCTTATGTACATATATTATGTAAGGCAGCAGCCAGTGTGAAAATAAACAAATGTCAGTTAACTGGATACAACAATTACCTGAACTCTGTATATGTAAAGTAACAAAGAAAAGGAACTATGAGTTGTGTGACAAAAAATACACGTATCATTACATAAAAGTTCTTTGTATTCAACGGCTATACAAACATCCAAACATCTCTTTTAGTATACTTGCACTGCCAATAATCAACTGCATCCAACTTATATAATGACTGGAATCTTGTGCAATCTCTTGATAAAGAAATGTGATAAAATATGATCCACCTGCTAAGCCTACCTATCTCTAGGCTGTACATGTCTAGGAATTTTACAACTTTTACCTCGAGTAGCAACGTACTCTCAACATGGAGTCATCTCTAAACTGAATAAACAACAGGATACTAAGAACAGAAATTGCGAATACTTATGACGACCTGTGGACATGCGCGTGCACACTTCCAAAGGCTTGACAAACACACATTCACAAGAGCACATTTCCTGCCTCGTGCCTTCTCCCTTGTTTCCAGGCACCCCATGCCTTCATATTCATCCAACTCAGGAAAGTCTCTCCCTCCTCTACCATGGGGAGTGGGGGGGTTGGGGGTGCAATACGCCTCAGTATCTGGTAAAAATGCGCTCGAGGGCCACTCCATGTACGTCTCTCATGTGCATCTTCAGGTTGTACTTGCGAGCCGTGCGGTGGGAGCAGAATTGGCAAGAAAACGGCTTCTCCCCAGTGTGGGTCATGACGTGCCGCTGTAACTCGGTGGGCGAACCACAAATCACTGGGCAGAGATGGCACCTAGGCACCTCAGTGCCCCCAAGCCAGCCTAGCTCCATACCCTCGACCTACAACAGACAGAACAAGTTGTCTCAGTTTCTAGGTCAATTGGGGGCAGCGGTAGGTCATCAGCAGCGTCACCCTCAGCAATACACCTTTCCCCAAGAATAGGGATTCTCATGGTTTTACTTTCCTTTATCAGACTGGGAATGAATGAGCAAGCTCTTACATCATATTAAAACATCACAGATACTGATAACTTTCTTACTTCTGTTTGCTATAATTTTGACCATAGAAAGCTAAGCAGACAACTCACCTCTAGTGAATGTAATACAAAATAAATACATATCCTTTATATGTAAAGCAATAAATCTAAAGGTAATTAAACAAAATTGTGACTGTGAACTGTATTTATGTAATAATAAATATATATAACATGCCATCATGAAGTGTATATTCACTCAAAACTAAAAAAAAATAAAAAGTAAAACAGCAAAAATAATAGTCATAGAATCAAAAGAAATGCTGACAAGAAATTTCCATTTTCTTGTCCCTCCTGTAGAACTACTTTTAATTGATTTCCCTTGTAGTGTATGATACCTTTAAAATTAACCTTTAAAACAAAAGGCTACCTTGCAAAATACCACTCACACAAATCCATAGAAAGAAAAAACTTGTAAAGTAGAAGGAAAACAAACTTAAAATGTGTAAACTTTCTCTTGCTTGTAAATCCTTTCCATAAAACCATCTAAAAAGTAATAATTACATTTTTTTTTATAAATAAGTATTAAATCAATAATATCTCTATACATGTGTACATACATCTGCATCTATAACTATTAGCTTATTTCTATCAATCCAATTTTCACATTTTTAAATTCTAACCTATGACTGTTGTATCTCAGAACAAATAACTTCTAACAGATCACAAAAAAAAAGAACTCATTGCACACAGCAAAACAGAAAGAAAAAAAAAATCTCCCCTCTTATATCCATAGCTGAATTTCTCTTAAGGACCAGACACACGCTGAGGAAGTCATATCACAACGAGCACAAGGATGAAGTCTTCCTCCAAGGTCTTACAAACTGCCACCTCATATCAACCTATCACATATATTCTAGCATCATCCTGCTTATTTGTATCACATTTGCAACCCACAAGGAGTTGCCTTGAGGGTACGCCATGCATTCCAAGCCCTTTAGGGATCGCACTAGCTCTCGCCCTCACCCCACGGAGCCCTGCCTCTCCCAAAGGAGAGCCCCTCTGCCTATCTATTGTCAATATTTGGCTGATTTGCACTATTGGGCCACAGCAGCTCCATTGGTACCCCATGAACGTCTCTCATGTGCTTCTTCAAGTTATACTTGCGGGCTGTACGATGGGAGCAGTATTGGCAAATAAAAGGCTTCTCCCCCGTGTGGGTCATGACGTGCCGCCGCAGGTCATTCGCCGACCCACAGTGCACATTGCAGAGGTGGCACCTGAACGGTTCTTCTCCCCCCAGCCACCCTGCCAACACACACTTGTCCTACAATAAAGAGAACAGTGGTCTCAAATCTTTCTTCTCACAACAAGGTGCCTGTCTACCAACACAAATCTGTAATCTTTCATGAACTCTCAAATTTCAGCATTTTCACATTACCCTATGGACCCTTGGAGAATGTCAAGTAGATAAACATACCAAAAAAAAAATATATATAAAAATAATAATAATAATAATAATAAAATAAATAAAAAAATAAAATAATAAAACAAGAAAAAAAATAAATAAATAAATAAATAAAATATAAGAGAAACAAAGGGAGGAAGGGAGAAGGGGATAAAAATATTCCTCTCAGAAACTAAACACAGAAAAAAACAAATTCATTTGCCTCATAAGCAAGAAATGCATACCTTCCCCGTATCCCCGTACATCCACCCTACAACCATACTGGAACATGACCCATCATGGAGACATGGTGCATCGAGTAACACTTTCCTTCTTCTCTTCCTATTCTTTTTGTTTTATTACATGCTGTGTGTGAATTTACAGAAGTACATCTTTATCTTGTTTTTTTTTTTTTTACTACAAATTATAATAGACATGTGCCCACTCTCTGAAAAATTCTGTTTCTCTTCATGTTGCTTAGTTTGTATGGCAGTAAAATGGTTTGCTTATCAATTTCAAACAGCTCTTTGTTTAATCCACTGATGTAGTTTTTAGCATGAGTGTGTGTAAGCGTTTGCATGTTGATGTGTGTATACAGATATGGATGTGTATGTATGTGTGTGTGTATGTGTGTGTATGTGCATGTGTATGTGTGTGTGTGTGTGTGTGTGTGTGTGTGTGTGTGTGTGTGTGTGTGTGTGTGTGTGTGTGTGTGTGTGTGTGTATGTGTGTGTATGTGTGTGTTGTGTGTGTGTGTGTGTGTGTGTGTGTGTGTGTGTGTGTGTGTGTGTGTGTGTGTGTGTGTGTGTGTGTGTGTGTGTGTGTGTGAGAGTGTGTGTGAGAGTGTGTGTGTGTGTGAGTGCAAGTTTGTGTGTGTGTGTGTGTGTGTGTGTGTGTGTGTGTGTGTGTGTGTGTGTGTGTGTGTGTGTGTGTGTGTGTGTGTGTGTGTGTGTGTGTGTGTGTGTGTGTGTGAGTGCAAGTTTGTGTGTGTGTATGTGTATGCGTGTATGTGAATGTGTGTATGTGAATGTGTGTATGTGAATGTGTGTATGTGAATGTGTATATGTGAATGTGTATATGTGAATGTGTGTATGTGCATGTGTGTATGTGAATGTGTGAGTGTGTGTGTATGTGAATGTGTGTGAATGTGTGTATGTGTATGTGTGTGTGTGTGTGTGTGTGTGTGTGTGTGTGTGTGTGTGTGTGTGTGTGTGTGTGTGTGTGTGTGTGGTGTGTGTGTGTGTGCGTGTGTGTGTGCGTGTGTGTGTGCGTGTGTGTGTGTGTGTGTGTGTGTGTGTGTGTGTGTGCGTGTGTGTGTGCAAATGTGTGTGTAAAATCTGTATAAGTGTGTGTACAAGTGTGTGTGTGTACAAGTGTGTTGTGTTTGTGTTTGTGTGTGTGTGTGTGTGTGTGTGTGTGTGTGTGTGTGTGTGTGTGTGTGTGTGTGTGTGTGTGTGTGCGCGTGTGTTGTGTGCGTGTGTGTGAGAGAGAAAATGCACATCCCTTCTAGCAGTCATATGTTCTGTTCTGTATTTGAAGTCTTTGAAATACATTCAGGTTAAGTAATACACACAAGATAAAAGTGACATGAATATTTTAATTTGTATTCAAGCTTGATCCACAACATCAATACTACAAAACTTCTCTCTACTTGACTATCATCATCATCATAATAATAATGTCAATAATAATAATAATCACAGACTGACTATATATATAAAAGCTGCAGGGTTAACAAAGAAATGCCCTCTTGTATTCCTACTTCATTCACCCTATCAAAATCCACCCTCAATGTGCCCTGAAACAATGATTTGTAACATCTGGTGAAATCTTATGGCAATCTTGACAACTAAAATTATTGACAACATCCATACAATGTAAATCATTTAATTTCCTATCTTACAAATAATAAAAAGGTTAAGAGCATATCACTACCATTAATATTATACTTTGTTTCATCATTATTACTACAATGAGAATGGGAAAGGGTTTCAGAGGTATGGCAACATTAGTTTATTTATTTATTTTTTTATTATAATTTTTTTTGGCCATTTTTGTTGTATCTTTTCTCTTCTACTACATCTCACATGCTAACAAGTATGGCAAATTCCAAAAGCTCATGGCTTCTGGACATGATTTGTATAAATGTGGTTAGGACTTTCAGTGGTCAATACAAAATACTTAAGTGCTAATGGGTGCTTAGAATGGTAGGCGAACATCCATGTGAATGTGACGCATGTGTGCTTTAAGGTTCCCTTTTGTGGCTGAACGATGTGGACAGTATGGGCACTGAAAGGGTTTCTCCCCCGTGTGGGTCCGTAAGTGCCTCTCA